AAATGAAGATAAATAACCCTAATTATCTTCAACATTGTGTTCATTCTTGGCATTGGATAAGCATCTTTTGCTATATGTCATTTAGCAGTTTATAGTTGACACATATCCTTAAAAATACATCAAACTTTGGCATTAGTACCATGAAAAAAATACTATGACAAATCTAAAAGCTCCCTCACCCCTACTTGAAGCATATTGTTCATATTTTTGTGGATCACCTATATTTTCACCTCAAAATACTGATATGCTAACCTTTTTATTAGAGATGCTTACTTTCTTAACAAATAGTGTCTATCAAGCTTCCACCCAGACTGATGGGATGCCTTACTATTATATTTTATGCCTTTTATATCAACTTTAGATTCACCATCCGGAATAGTGTCCAAGAACCTACTCATTTCATCCTCCTCTATTGAACCCTTCGCAAATATCACCTACTTTTTTACAACTTAAGTTATTATAAAAATTGTTTATTTCCCTTTTGCAACCTTCACCTTATATATCTGTGGAGGAATCTTGTCCAAGAAAGCTTGGGAGTGTAAAATCCCATGGAATATGTCTTTGAAAACTTATGGAGGGGAAATCATTGATCCTAGTCAGTTTGAACATTGAGCTAGAAGCTGATGGGGCATATATATCCTCATTTACAAGTCCTGTGAGTTCCATGGCATCTCAAATTCCTCCCAAATCAAATCACCTAATGACTCTCTAGCCATTGCTCTCTATAAGCTTCTGATTTCTCACTCTTCTTCTATATTGAATAATTGACCCAAAAAACACAAATTCCTTCTCCTCTCCACTTGATGGATGATTTATTATTGTAATTTGCCCTTCAATGTTTGAGAATCCACCATTAACACCATATTTTAAATCAAATGACTAATTTCATTCATCTTGACCTTCAAGAATCTCAAACTGCATGTCAAAAGCTCCCTTGCCTAATCTTTCTTACCCAAAAGATGATAGAGATCCTCATTCTTGACCAATGGATGGTTGCCCTCTACCAAATAATGCATATTCCTCTTGGGGCATTCAAAATTCCCCCTTTGGTTGAAACATTAAAGCCCTTGGTGCCACTTTATTGCCAAAAGCCTTGTTAGTAGCTGAATAACTTCTTCCTTCTTCACCAAGCTGACTTGCCACCTCTTGAGCGCCACTTCAAGATTCCCCAATCTTGCCTCTAGAACACATTGAACACACTCCCTTTCATCTATGTCAGCCCAAATCCATCTTTCTTGGTTCTAAGAGCTTTCTCCAACATATAGGGATGAGTTCCCACCCACCATTTTACCAAAACTACCACCTTTTAATGAATAAATTAGATTGCAAACTTCACTTCTCCAATATAAAGGTGGGGTGAATAGTCCAAGTTAGGACTGATCCAAGAAGGGTACGATGTACGATGTGGTAACTACCTAATGCTTTTTCATCAATTTCCCACCTTTAGCTACCTTAGATGCACCCAGCTTTGATCCGGCCCAATCAGGGCCTTCTTCCAATTCTTACACCAGAACTCCACATGTTTCCATGACTGAATGCAAATTACAAAACTCAAACAAGCTTATGTTAATCATAAACCAGACAAAGATCTAGAAAGAAACTCTTTTTACTAGATCTAAGAGCCAATGCTTCTAAGGGGTGAGGCCTGGCCTGCCCTTGGACTTCAAACTCCTACCTTTTATACTCCAAAACCTAAGATTCCTCTACACTACTTGATACCAGAATCTTTAATTTTGCTTATCATCTGCCATATCACCTTGCCACCTGAATTAAACCCAACTTTAATTGTTCTCTCAACTTTCTCTGGCACAAGCTCGTGCGTTTCCTCTTTGCTTTCAGTCAAGAGCATTGCAATTTCAAGGGAAGCTGGGCAAGAGCATCTTCTCCTCCAAACCATCACCAATACGCTGCCAACCTTTGCGTTGTCCAGCCATCTGGATGGTTGCTCGTTTCAAAACGAGCAACCGGCACTTCCTCCAAAACTCCCACGCTTCTCAGATCACACAGGATCATCACACGCAGTGTCTCGTAAAACCCCCATATCACTTCCTCCACTGGCGGCATTACAGAATCACTGATATTAAAAGTGAAGCCACACAGTGCTGTGATGATTGGCATTGTTATTACACAGTTCTCACCACCTTCGGGCTGGACGCCAAAACTTTCTCCACTTCCACTGCTAGCTTTGCTGCAACCAGAATCTCTTCAGCAGACCTTTGGACTTGCTGGACTGCTCGTTCACGCCTTGCAGCCGATCCTCCATCTCCTTCTCGAGCTCGCACCTCGGACAACCTGTCCTAGAGCTTCTCGGGCCCAAAGGATCGCCGCCGTAGCACCTCAAGAGCTCCATGCCTGCTGTCATGTCTCTGATAAGCGTGCCTCTCACGCTCCAGCTGACATTTGAAATACAGGAGCCAGCGCCTCATAAAGCTCTACAACATTTGGCGCAGGGACACGTCAAACTGTTTCAGGCTTGGTTTCCAGAAGAGGTTGACCTCCGGTGGGTTTTCTCCACAAAGTTCACATCGTCGTGAAAGCTGGAGTTTCCAGAAAGTTGCTCTGGAGAAGCTTAACTGGAAGTGCTTTCGGTGAGGCCAAGGCAGCATGAGTAGTCCGAAACACAAGTTGCTTCCACCTGTTGCTGCTAGCAGCATGTACACTTCTAGCGGTACTCCTTTGTTGTTCTCGCTTGAGGACTGTCAGCTTGAGCAAGTCTCCAGCTCGAACGTCCGCTGTGAGAAACGCGGCCAGCACCGTTGACAATCATCCCAGACCAACGAGGTCGGTAACTTCGTCCCCTTCTTTATCCCTGTAAATTCCAGACTTGCTCTGGATGACGAACACGGCTGCCTTTTGCCATAGCTGCACTACATCTTCGTGCGTCTCACACGCCTGCGAGGACCTGTTGACGCGAGGAAGGAGAAGCCCAACTCGTACTGCCGCAGTTCCTCTAGCTTCTCTGAGAATGCTCTTCCGTCGAGCCCAAGCACCGTCTCTGCCTCTTTGAGAGCCCGCTCATACCTGTCAAGGCTGAACAGGCCTCGGACCTGTTGGACCTCGCCATCGCCAGCCTTGCAGCAAGCGTGTATAACTCCACAGCAGCGCCAAACCTTCCACGACGAAATTCCTCGAATCTTTGCGGGATCGCCGCCGTGTAGGATCTCTCGCAGCTGCCGATATCCTGCTCCTTTCGAATCGCTCCTGGTGGCTCTAGCTCAGTCTAGAACGAAAAAGAAAAACGAAATCCTTAGAAACTTACACTCTATTCTTCCATAAGCCCTAAATCAAGGGTAAAGTTTAAACTGGCATTCTATGGGATTTAGGGTTTCGCGAGGAGGAGAAGATCTTCGTGTAGCTCGGGAGCTGGCGCTGGCAGATCGGTCCGTCCGGCATGAGTGTAAGTATCTTGCGCGGAAGAATTTTCGCTGCATTCTCGTGATCTAGCCTCTATTGCACTGTCGAGCGTGAAATTATTGGGGAGTTTCTAAGGATTTCGTTTTTCTTTTTCGTTCTAGACTGAGCTAGAGCCACCAGGAGTGGTGCGTTATTTGGTGGGAGCCGTGATCATGATTGTTGGTGTGATCCTTCCATTGCTGTTCATGCTATTTCGAAATCGCCGTGTTCCAACCTCCACTCATTTAGGTGCGCTTCTTTCTTAGTTCGCTTGCAATGTATGCGTTTGTGTTTGTGGTTGAGAAAACCTGTGACTTCTTGATCCCTTTTTCTTGTTGTAAGCGAGTACTTTCTCTTGTAGGCTACTCTGCAAGGAGACTTTGATAAGCAAAAATTCTTTGTGGAGGTGGCCAAAGCAGTAAGTCACTTCCTTCCGCCTGTGTTTTTCCTGACCAAAGGTTCTGTGTCCAGTTGAATGACCACAACATTGACGGGTTCGATGCCTTGGAAAGGTAGTTCGTGCTCTCTTGTGGCTTCTGGGTTGGTTTTGATCGTTTGCCTGTTACAGCCACCTTCTCGAGCGTCTGCAAATTTCGTCGGACGAAGAACTAGCTCAGTTGAAAGAGGTTAAAACTTTTCCTTTGCGATTTTTTTTTCTTGTTTCGTCCTCAACATTTTTTGCTTCTGCCTCAGGCGGTCGATACTGTTTTCGAAAAGGTGCAAATGGCTCTTGAGAAAAATCTCTTGCGATGGGAGAAGTATTGCAAAACAAACTGCTTCTATGTACCAGAGATAGTAGAAACCGTTCAGGTCAGCTTGTTTTTCAAAACTGGTTGCTAAATAGATTCAAAGGTGGTTCATTCAGGCTGAAGAGAAGGAAGAAGAGACTCCACAACCAGATCCAGTCGATATTGCCAGAGAGGCTGAACTGGACAATGAATTGGATCTTCTTAGAAGTCGGATCCTCTCGGTAAAGTTCTCCACGGTTCCACTGTTATTACAAAGCGCTCACCATTGTTTTGCCAGGTGAGGAGAGAGACCTCTAAACTAAATCGGGAACGCCAGACTCTGGAGACATGGCTGTCCCTGAAGCGCGCCAAAATTGATGCTGTGAACGAAGCAGCCTCTTCGGTAGACAAGACGAAGCTGTCAATCATGCAAGGTATTCCCCGCTCTATTTCTACTGTGGCTTTTTTGGTTACAATGCGAGTGTTCGTCGTAGCAGCGGAGATATCAGAAGCGGCTTCAAAGATGCACGAGCAAATGAAGAAGGCGGAGGACGAAACTTTTGGTAAGTTTATTGCTCTTGGCAGCACGTAACCAGGCTGCTCACTTACAGAAGCAAAAGAGATGGATACAAAGAGCAAAGCTGCGTTTGCAAAGCTTCTCGACGAGATCTTTTGACAATATCACACTAACATGCTTATAGCTAGTAAGTACTAGCAAGGAGAAACTCTTGTAGATCATCTTCTTGTTTGTTTGCTGCATTCACCTTTGCTTCCAGAGAAATAGAGCTCGCAAAATGTTCTCGTCAAATACTTGTCTCGTGACGGAAGGAAGTATGATCTTCAAGCTTGTTTCTGAGGCGAAAGAGATGAATACAAAGAGAACAAAGCTGTGATCTTTTTGACAATAACAAGCGAGATGGACAATGAACAGCAAAGTGTACACTAAGACTGCTTATAGCTCTAGTAAGTATTGGTAAGGAGAGACACTGGTTCCTCTTTTGTTTCGTTACCTTCACCTTGACTTCCAGAGGCCAACCAGATCGACTACACTACGCAAAATCCTCTTCAACTCCGTGTCGCGGCACCTAAGTAGCTGTTTTCGTCGCGTGATGGATGGACAGAGATGGACCATCTTCGAGCTTTTGCTCTCACGCACCGCAGGTACACACTCCATTCTCAAAGTGGTGGAACGTCGTCGCGTCTCTCACGGTGATCTGCTTCTTGATCACCTTGGAGATCACCTTGGTCGTCTTGTGGCAGTCGGCGCAGATGCTGAGGTTCTTGACGAACCACATCGGCGTACCAGGGTTGGTGGTGCTGATGTTGAACGCCACCGACATCTTCTCGGTGTGGAAGCACAGCAGCTGCGGCTTCACCTCGGGCACGCTCACCCGGCCACCCTTGTCACTGTCCGGCAAGCCCGACTGCGCTCGCAGCCGGTCCGCCTCCTCGGTGTTGCCTTTGTCGTTGTAGACGCGGATGATGAGCTCCCACGACATGGCGTCGCGCTTGGGCATGAGATCAAACACCTCCCTCGCGTCCTCGAGCTCGCCGTGCTTGGCGTAGGCCCGGAGCATCAGGTTCCAGCACCCGATATCCGGCTGGTTGACGGAGTTGAAGACGCGGCGGGCCTCGAGCAGCGCGCCACACTTCTCGTACATGTCGATCAGAAGGTTGGCGAGGAAGCGGTTCCTCCGGAACTCACTGTTGTAGACTCGGGCGTGGACTCTCTGGGCCTCCTTGAAGTCCTTGTTATCGCCCGCGTTCTTGATGTAGCGAGTGAAGTCGTCCTTGCTCGGGAACTCGGGCTCGTCGCAGCACTCCGGATAGTCCCTCCCGGCCTCGATGTCCACGCTCCGGATGTAGTCGATGTTCTCCTTGGCGTAGCGCTTGAATCCAAACGAGAAGCCGCCGCCGCTGGTGGTGGAGGTCTCGGACGGCGCCTGGCGGGGCGGCGGCGGCGGGCGGGGCGTGTAGCTCGGGTTTGCCTTGCGCTCGTCGATCACCTCCTGCGCCAGCCGCCCCCATTCCGCCTTGACGGTGTTGACGAGCCAGTTGAGGTAGTCGTCCGAGAGCATCCCCAGCGTCTTGCCGTTGTGGACGCCCCAGGTGATCTTGACGTCCTTGGCGGCCCGCCGGGGCTTGGCCTCGGCAGCCTCCGCCGCCGACGCCATGATTCTCGTCGCGCCCCGCGGCGGCGCCGCTCTGGCCGCGCGGATTACGCTGCCGTAGAACGCTGGTGGCAATCGGCAGCAGCTTCCTGGGAGTGCAGCACTGGGCAATGCGCCGCCGCTGCTGCTCCAATCTACATTCCCGCTGTACCTGGGAGAGGAGAGCTGCTGCATCAGCGCCATGGCCGGATCGATCGCGCCCTCGCCAAAACCCCAAAACCCTGCCGCTTGGATAAGATATATTGGCTATGGCGGCGATTTAGGGTTCTTGGGGAGATATTTCCAAATGCGCGCCCCATCGCCACCGTCGGTTGCGATGAAATATCTTCTAGCGCTTTAATCCGATGGATGGGATTCAAACCCAACACCGCGAATGAATCCACGCTAGGATCGAAGGAAGTGAGGGCACCGGAATGGGTTCTTCTTGGGGACCTTACTTTGTTAATAATGGCAATATTCAATTAAATTGAAAAGGATTTATATTGTTGCATCACAAGTTTTATTCTTAATATTTTAGAATTCTCTCCATATTTTCCTTATATTTATGAGACTGGTATACATATATACCATACATGCAGCACACAGATACAACCTAAGATTTGCTATTAGTCTAGTATCCTAGTAATCCTAATTTATTATTCTTGGGGTCCTTTAACTGGTGGCACATATGTGGGCTTCTAATGGGCTTGAGCAGTTTTTAACCTTGATGTTTGCATAGCTGGCTCAAAACCAAGTGGGGATGCAATAGTTGGTTGCAACACTTGGTTGGAAGCTTAAGTGCCCCCACATACATGCAGTGGATACAACCCATGTTTGCATCATGGGTTGCATATAACTCATGGATTAACCATTTTGGGATAATAATCATGTATCATGGATAGGATGATATGGCCAAACTTCAAAAGTTTCTTCCTCATTTGCATGGTTTTTTACAAGCTTTTTGGTACCATGTAAATGAAGTTGCCTCAGTAGATAATATGTTAAAATTGTGGTGAGGCAAATTGATTTCAAGGCCTTGATTAGCTTGTGTGGATCTTATTATGTTCAAGCCCATCAAGCTAAGATTGTTCTATCATGTCTATAGTCCTATTAGAGCTTTTGTGAAAGGATATTGCCTTTAATGATGCCATTGTGATTACTCATAGAGTAGAGGAAAGCCATATCTAACACTCTCATCAAGTATATCTCACCTAGTTGTTTTTACAGTTCTTATGGATGTTGATCCCATCTCAACTATAGCAACTTGAGATTTTGGTGCTATAGTGGTGTTGTGGTCATGAGCACAGACATAGTCAAGGAGAAGCTTATAGACATGGATGTGCCAATCTTGAGTAGAGTGAGGGAACTATCATTAAGCAATTGTATCTCTCAAGATTATGATAGTAGTGAAATGCTTTCTGTTAATCATTTGGAAAACTAATGGATGTATCTAAAGGTAAGAGGAGGATTTATACACATCTTGCCTTTCTTCTAACATGCATAGATAGTAAAATATGTCTTATTATTGTGAATAAAGAGAGGTGTATTATTTCTTATAAGGATTTGAAAATTTATATATGTTTTCTCTAGGGTTATTTATGACACTGATATGACAAGAAGTCCCATTTTTTATAATAAAAAGTTTTCCACCTGATTGTTGTCTATGGCATATGTGCCTCTGAAACTTGGGGAATATAAGCACACTCTTCCATTAGAAGTGATGCCTAATCAAGTTTATGATATCATTTTGGGTGTCAATTGGTTGTGTATTATTAGAGTTTATTATGACTTTGAAAAGAACCTACTCACTATTCCAAGACATCCTTCCTTTGTTGCTATTAATTATATTTGCCAAAACTCAAAGATTATTATTTAAGATTTTCTTCTTTCACCTTTTAAGCCCTCTCTTGTAGAATGGGATGAAAATCTAGAGCTCATTTCCCAAAGCTCTTTGATCCCACTAATTAAACTAAGTCTATTATACGCATTTAGCATAGTCTTGTGTCCAATTAAAATAGTACTATACTGTAGATCTTTTGACTTAGGAGTCATTTACAAGTCATGTATTTATATGTTATTGAGTCATATCTTGTTCCGAAATCAGATGGGGTTAAGTGTTTTACAAACTGACAAATCATTTTTAGGGCTCCAGGGTATTGGCAAATACCTGTAGATCTTGTTGCTGCGGCAAAGACAATTTTTTGAGCTCCAAAAAGTTTGTATGAATTTACAATGATATTATTTGGATTGATAAAGGCACTTGTAACATTTCAATTGATGATAAATGAAAAATTAGAAGGCTTTGAGGAATGAAAATCTTTCTAGCAAATCTTATATATCCATTTTGAATGGGTATGTGGTTTCACTCTAGTTCTTAGGGACTTGTCAGCAAACTTGTAGCAATGAGTGAGCGAAGGGTAAAGCATGATTGATTCTTTTGTATATGTTTTGGAGTTTTAGCCTTGGTCTCCATGCATGCACAACTTGCAACCTGCTATGTCAAGACTACTTGCATCCTTGGTTGAATATGAGAAGCATCATAAGGAGTGTATATTGAAGAGTTTGGGTTGCATAAGCCTTTCTAGATAATTTATTGATACATACAAATGCCATATGATAGCATTATTTATGATTCAAACAATGAGAAACATTTAAACCAAGTGCTTGCCTAGCAAATTTATATTATTTTTTAGTTAAATCTTTCAAAAATTTATAAGTAAATACTTATTTTTTATTTAAATATATACATTTTAGTAAAACTTTGACCTGTTATTTCAAATGAATTTTTTCTATGAATTTTAAGAAAATCTTATCAAAAGTCAATAAGTGTACTACACTGTGAAGGCTACTTTGGTGTTGTTATATTTGCTACTTTTTAAATTGTATATATTCTTCTTCTTCAAATTATGCTCTGCGTTTTCTCTTGCATTATGTGTTAGGACATTGCAACAGAAAATTCAGACTTCCTTGCAAATTCACACGCCAGTGGTGGAATCGGCACCTCCTAAGGCTGGCATCGCTTAGGATCGTTAGGCCACCATTGATTGGAGTTCCATGTTCCATGTCTTTTTCTTAAGGGAGCACAATTACCAGATTTTTTGCTTTGCCCTATCCCTGAATTAAATTGCCATTTTACTTTGTACCGATTTGAGAGTAATCTGGTCTGATTTGAATGCTGGGGAGTATACTTCATGTATGGTACAGTTTCCTAAAAGAAATAGGGACAACGAACTGACCTTTTTTCCCTGCCACATGAATTGAGGAAAAATATACAAAATGACTCACCACCTTTCAAGGACTGCTGCAGGCACCAAGCCAACAATGAAGAATACAAATTTTCTAGGAAGAGAGGATGTAAATCTCACTGAATTTTGCAGTGTGAACCAGCAGTATGAGTTGGTGGCAATTGCAAGCCCGTACAGCTTCTGGGATGATAGCTTAATGGTGATTACTGCAATGTTGTGCAGCCAGAGTTTCTGCCCACTGAAAGAAAACCATTACTTGCGTGACTCATGCAGGGATATGAAGCCGCATGAACTGTGAACCGGATCCTCTAGCCCAGGAAGTTGGAAGGAGATGTCTAGATGGCGAGAGCGTCTCAGTTTACAGGTTTTCTGGATCGATCCATCCACTTCATCATGTGGTAGAGTGGTAGAAAGAAAGTTCTCAAAGAGACTATAGTTGAAGCAATTCAAAAAATTCATGGTTCAGGACCAAATTACTCTCTCTCTCTCTCTCTCTCTCTCACTTGTTTCTAAACCAAGCACAAAAAGTACCTAATTAAATTCTCAGAATCTAATCCATCCTAACGTTCGTCCAAGCAAAAAAGTGCAATGCACCTTCTAGAGATTGAAAGCTATAGATGCCTTCTTCTTTGACCGTAGTGCTGTTGCTCCTTGACACCTTGCTGATTCCGACCATCAAGCTCATGTCATCAAGATGGAGCCCACAGGCCAACGAACAATATCAAGATTTGCAGAGGGACAATCTAGTTTGAAGCAGTTTAAGGGGCAAAATAGATTTCTCATTTTCTAGGGCTAAATATCATGGCGGTGGCAATGCGGCTTCTTGTGCTCCTCGCGGCTGTGGCGGCCACGGCGATCGGCAAATCCGTTAAGAGTAAGCATCCCTAGGTCGTAGATCCAGGCAATGTAGGTCGTGGCGAGGTTCCAGATTGGGCGATTAACATTCGAGATGTTTTATTTCCAGCGTTGGGAGGGAGAATTCTTGCTAGATTCTTAAATCATAAGTTTCTCTCGATTGCCTGGTAGAGTCTCTGTGAATGTTGGATCGACGCATCGGGGAATCTACATTTCCTCGTTGGAGTTTCTCGCATAGAGTTTCTCGCTGGTCGACCGAGTTTACATTTTCCGTTTCTAAAGCCGGGTTTTCTAGATGTTTGTTCTTTCAATAACTCTCAGTTATCTAAGGCAAGAATCGTGTGCTTCTTTGTTTTTTTTTTCCAGATCCTGCTGATGCATTGGCCCGTGAGATCAATCGCAACCTCACCGCCGCCAATCTCCCAACTCTCTACAACAATCCGGGACTTGGCTGCGTGGCCTTGCAGTACATCCAGGCATACCAAGGCCAATGCAGCGACGTCGGCCCAAACGGCCAGCGTCCACCAGAGGCCTCTTTCAAGACAACGCTCGCAGACAACTGCGGAGTGGATCCATCTTCGGTGGCCGACATCACTGGAACCATCCTCGCCTGCGAGACCGAGTACCGCGACGCTCGCTACGCCTTCTCCAGCCTTCTCTTCAAAGAGTCCAGCACGCTGGCGACGCTCCAAAGCTCAAACCACACTGAGTTTGGAGTCGGGATCAGCGGCTACGAGGGCGGCGCTCCATACTTTTGGTGCGTCCTCCTCAGCAATGGGACGCCAAAGTCGAGCTTCTCGTTCTCGGATTCCAAGGCCAAGTACCAAAAGACCGGTTGCTTCAGCGGGACTGGGGAGGCTTGCAGCGGTGGAGCTGGAAGTTTGCGTCCGGTGGCCTCGCTGATCCTCGCTTCCATGCTCGTCGCGGTGATCGCCACCTTATTCATCTAGATCGCCTCCTCTGGTACTGTTGTTCTTTTTTATATTCTTTCACTTCTTATCTCGAAGTTGAAACTTTCAACATGCAGAGCGTGCCAAGTGGAACGCATCGGCTCCGAGAATATTCCAGGGACTCGCTTAGCTGCTCGCTCCGCAAGCCCTATGCGTTTCTCTCGTTTGCTCTGATGGGTATTTGGCACTGTTTGGCAGGATGAGTTTGGATTGAGGAAAAGGTGCCAAGGAAGGCAGAGGCAGAGAAACAATGATCGGGCTGGTCGTCTCTCTGGTAACTTCCATTCTTGACAGCACAACACGGCCGTGGCGGAAGATCTTTTGGTTCTCGCTCCATCTCTACTTTACGGCATGGAGCATTTTCCTCACCCTTGTGGTGGGGATTATCACCTCTCCCTTTCGGTTTTTGAACGCCGCAAGGAGGGAGAAGCTAGTAAGTTCTCTCCCTTTCTTCCTCTCTTTCTGTGGCACTAATGTTCTTGGCTTGATCAGCTTGAGGCGCAGCTTCGAGAGCTACAGCAGCACTATGAGGAAGTGAGCGAGAAGAAAGGCGACTTGGAGAGGAGGCTGGAAGTCACTGCAAGGGACCGGAAGCGTATCAAGGAGTCGCTTGATCAGGCTGTAGGCGAGTGGGAGAAATCCATAGACCGGCTCAAGCTGCTCAAGGCCCGGGTAAGAGGAAAAACTTATTTTTCCACAATCTAATTACGTGATTAACTGAATCAATGCGCAGGTCCAGGAACTAGAGTCTCAAAACGTGAAGCTGAGAGAGCTGGAGGAGGAGAGGAAGTCCAAAGCGAGGGCCAGGTTTTCTACAAAGGATCACCACCACCATCACCAGCAGCAGCAGCAACACACGCAGCATCAAAACCAGCAAAACTCTAGTAAGCCAAGTGGAGTTTTTGATGACAGCATGATCATGGAGGGGAGGGGTGTGGCGTTGGGATCCAGCATTTTCAGTGCCGTGCTTTCTTTGCTCGTGGGTTTCATTGCATGGGAGGCCGAGGACCCGTGTATGCCTCTGGTGGTTGCCTTGTTCATGGTGGTTGGCATGTCCCTCTCTAACGTCTTTCAATTCTTCTCCAAATTGCAATCCAGGTTCGGCTTTGATGCCGTCGCCTTGCTCAGCTTCAACTGGTTCATGCTAGGTACTCTAGCGTTCCCTGCATTTCCTTTCTTCGCGAAGTTCTTCTCACTCTTGTTAGGTCCCCTTGTCTTGTGGGTCGCGAGCTGGTTTGGCTATTAGGAGAGGAAGTCTCATTGTGAGTTTTTTCTCTTTTTTTTCTCTCGGGTTGCATGCTCTTTTCTTCTCGTTTTTTCTCTCTCTCGAGTCGTAATGCTCTTCTCGTTTTTTTCTCTCGTTAAGTTGGTCTCCGTGTATGTGTATATGCCGTATAGTAATCGTTTATGTAGGACTTAAAAGAGTGGTTTTTCTTTTTCGTCTTTGGTTTCCAAGGTTCTCGGAAGACTGTTCTTGTGAGTGTTTCCAAGGTTCTCGGATGCCTATACAAGTTTCCAAGGTTCTCGGAAGATACTGTTCTTGCGAGTGAGGTGAACTTTGTAGAACTCTTTTACTCTTGTAATTTACAGGATTCTCACAGACCGGTGTCTCTCTCGCTCTTTCTCTTCTACTGCGCGAGCTGGGCCTCTTGGAAAGCATTCCAGATGGCCGTCATCTCCTCCGGGCTTAGAGCTCCGGCGGAAGTGAACGAGGCCGACGGCGGCGTGCACGGAGAGAGAGACCTCCTTGTGTTGAAGTCGTCCATCGAGAAGGAAGATCCAACTGACGCAAACGGTGTCGATCGAAAAGAACCTGGCGTCGATGGCGGTGATCTCGTATCGTACACCAGCCTTGGCTTGCCGTCGCGACGACTATCCAGCACCTGGAACAAAGCAGTGACAAAACTCGTGAGGAAGGTATAAGAAAACTGAGCTGAGCTTACTCTCTTCAGGTATGGCATGCTTAATTTCTCTTCCTCGAAACTTTGCGTTCGACCAGCTGCTGGCTTTGCTTCTGTGCTTCCAGGCGGCGAGCAGAGCTTGAGAATTTCCATCCGTGCGTTAAGTTCGTCGCCCACCCTCGGCTTCTTCGTCGTGGACTCGGACATCGAGTTGCTGCTGCTGGTGCTCGGCCTCTTTTTGGATGATCCAGGACTACCGGATAAACTCTCGGTCTTTGACGTGTTGCCGCCACCGCCATTAGTCCCGGCTTGCGCCTGGGAGCACAGGAACTCCAGGAAACTTATGTCGGCACGACGTTCTCCTCGATTTTCCTGTTCCTCTGAAGATGACGATGATGCTAAGCGCTGGCGAGCTCGGATGCAGGAAAACATATCCCCGGCATCGACTGGCATCACCACCACCTTACTGGCGCCCGGGTTTTCCTTGAGATAGGCCTCGGAGCAAGAACTCGAGTGGGAAGTTACTTCCGAGATGCGGCAAAACTCGTCCAGAAACTCGAGAGACACGACGTCCTGCTTGCTGCTGCTGTTGCTACTTCTGCAAGAACTCTCCATTGAAAGTCCTCTCTTTTTGTTGTGATGACCATACGCGACTCTCATCTTTGCGCTGTTGGCGAGGCTGGATTCGCTTCCAGTTTCTTCGATGATCTGTATAGCACGGAGTGAGAACCTGGTGGAGAGAGCAAAAGAGCGAAAAGAACTCATCTACGTACCTCTGACGATGATCCGGAGATAGAGACGTAAGCAGTGATCTTGGGAATGACTGGAGTGCCATTTCCAGCGGCGCCAGCGATCATTGCCTTGGGGTTTTCTTGCGTGGAAGAAGAAATGGTAGTGGCGCCTCGGCAAGAGCTGAAGGACTCGCCATTCTCAACGACCAAATCCTCTTGTTCTTCTTCTTCATGTTCTTCACCAGAGTTGTCAAAGACCGGGAGCTCGTCGTCGTAATCCCTGAGGTGATGCCTCAGAGGAGCTGCGTTAGCGCGCTGGAGCTCGCTCGAGAATTTCTTGAGCTCTTCTTGATCCCTTCGCTGCATCCTCAGCGGCAGCACTTGTGGCGATCTTGGCGAAACTTTCTTGTCATTCCTCTCTTGCCAGTGGTGATTTGCAGCCTTTCCAGCCGTGATCGAAGAAGGAAGACCGCCTGGATCACCGCGCGATGGCGCCGGGATGGGACTGAAAGCCTGCTCGGCTTTCTTGGACAGGAGATCACGGAAGGTGTGGCGGCGCGCATCAAAATCCTCGAAATCCTGGAGCGGCAAGCGCGTACCTCGATCGGCGATGCTTGGCGGGAGCGCTCTCCTACCATCGTCAGCGCCGGCGCCAGGCTTGAAAACCTTGTGGTGATCATGGAGCGGCGATGGAGAGGTCTTGTGGGCGAGCGGTACCGGCGAGCTGTGCGTCACTGGCGCTGACGATTCCGCGCAAGGCTTGCCGAAGCAGAGCCCCATCCTCTTCCAGCTCCCTGATCTTCCTTGCTTCCAATCTCTTTCCTCTCGATCGTTGCCTCGCTCTTCGTCGCGCCGCCGCCACCGCAGGGCTGGAGGAGTTCCAAGAAAAGATTCACGCACCACAATTAAGGAGTGGAGTGACTCACAATCTCGCGCGTTTGTTTTGTGCGTGGAATGCGCCGACGGGATTTCAAAGCTTCCCGCCAAATTAAAATTACCGCCAATCACATTATCCAATAATTAAAGAACAGAGAGAACAGAGGGTTGAGGGCTCCTAGACGACTTATATGCTGTTTTGAAGCGAGCCTGGCGAGTTGGAATTCTGAGACGAGGTTTGAGGAAGCTGGAGATGAGAATCTGAGAATGATCTTCAACGCCTGAAAAGCAATTTATGATCTTGTGCTTACTACTATGAGTTACGAAACAAGCGAAAACTCTCACGCTAAAATACCAGAAATCAAGAGACTTTTACCAACATTTTGAGGAGACCTTCGTAAAACAAACCTGGTTCTTTCAAAAACCTGGGAACTTCGTGTGGCCAGGTGGAATAAATTTACAAAAGTGATTGGAACAAAGGTTCTCAAAATGGCCTACAATACAACACAGATTCGAGCAGGTTGTAAGAAATTCCCGGGAAGGAACCAAGAACTACAGAAGCCACGAGAGACTAAAACGCAAGAAGAAAAATATATACTAGAGAGAGAGCGCACCTACGTCTGCTTGGCAAAGGGAGCGGCGCTTGGAACACGGCGATTCCGAAACAGCATGAAAATCAGTGGCAGGATCACACCAGTAAACATGATCACAGCTCCCAGCAAATAGCGCACTACTCCCGGTGCCTCTAGCTCAGTCTATAAGGCAACAAAAAGCGGAAATTTCTATAAGACATCCCCCAAATTCCCGGGGCTAAATCACCGAGCGCAAATGCGTGTCCCATCAAAGCTACTCACAGGCATGCCGGATGGATCGATCCGCCCGTGCCAGCTCCCGATCCAAAGAACCCTAAAACCCTGACAAAGTGAAAATTTAGGGTTCTTGAGGGTCAGTTATATACTCAATATCCGTTGTTTGTGTGCTAAGATTTGGAGTTTCTTTCTTTCACTCAATGCCCAGCCAATGATTAGAGAGGTAATCTTAAGTGACACTGCATCGCAAATTCACATACTCATTGTCATCTTTTAGGCATGTTGGCATGGTAGAACACCTCTAAAAGTGAGACCCAGGCTGAACAACCGGGCGTTATCATCACTGCCGAGTTTCTCCACAAAGTATATCGCCCCGTTCTTATGTGCCTTGAGCTGTGGTATTGGTATCGCCAACAGTTGTCGAGTACTCCGTCCCGGCACCTCAAAATGTTGTTTATTTCGTACTGGAACTCTACTCGTTGGAGGCTGCATCGAAAATGCCCCGGCAGGAGTCATGGATGTGTTGATGATAGCAATCGGGAGCGGGTCAATCTTTGGCCTGATAACAACGATCTTGATGTTGCTTGACATTTCGTTCACCAGCATGGAGACGATTGAGAACCCGCAAAAATCGTTCAATGGCGACCTGGGAATGCTCCGGTTCCATGCGGTCACTGGAATCCATACCACGAAAACGAGCTTTCTGTTGTTTCCACCATGGATTCATTTGCGGCGCCTGCCCCATCCGACAGAAAAAATCCCAGCCGTTGGTACACTTTACCAAGTCAAAATATATTTTATTTTTGGCTAGCGGATTGTCCCCTTTTTTGCAAACCACATTAAATCTTTTTGAATATCTTGTGAATGTATGTGCATTTGCTTTCCAATCTTAAAACGGGACATAGGATTTGTGATTGTCGGTCCGCCATTGCTGCTTTCTTTCTGAGAAATGGTACGCTTCCTATTGCCTCGATCAGCGAATTGCTTTGAAATTGCGCTGCCGGGTAGCTTCACGCAAGAGACTGGTTTGTATCCAGGAAATCCAGCAACAGCACGAGACTTGGTGTAAACCGCTCTCTGTCCGGGTGATCACTTTGCAAAGAGTGTTGAGTTTGTAGTTGAAACTCCATTTTCTGTGCGTTCAAAGACGTCAAAGGGGTGGCAGCAAGGCATCAAAACTTAAAAGCCGCAGCAAAGCCAAAGGATGGATCATTTCAATGATAGAGTGTCATTTTAATTACAGAATGTAAACGAAGAAAGCTTCATTTCAGAATGTTCTTAAATCATAGTGGTGATGTCTCGGCCGGGAACGCACACGGCTGGCGGGGCCAACTCAAGGCGGGGGGTATATGGCAGCATATTTCCCTTGAGCTTCCGTATGATGTCCAGTCCTACGTTGAGTGCCGTTGCAGAGGATCTGTCTGGGATCTTCAAGAGAGCACTAGCACTTGTCTACACACACAAAAAATGGGGTCAGAAAAACATAGAGAATAATGAGGAAGCTTGCAAAGTTTTTTGTATACCAGAGTTCCTGGGTTTTGGCTGTTGAGAGCCGAGATGTAAAACGCAGGCTTGGTGCCGACGTTGATCTCAAAGTGCATTGTTCCCCGTGGGAATATGGTAATATCGCCTGGGTACAAGAGGTTGATGCGTGGTACTCCTGGAAAATCACCCCATATGTTCTTTGTAAGATCAAACTACAAAGAGAGAATCCTATTTCCTACCGGCTGTATCCACGAATCCAACTTGAAGTGGCCCGCCAGAGACCATCGTGAGGAGCTCGGAAGCTCGAGGGTGAGTGTGTGGGAGATTGACTCCACAGGGAACCATGTTAAAGTGTACATAAGTTATCCCTTGAGACCTGGAAAAAAAAGAAAGTAAAACCATGAATGGATTAGAATTGTGGTATCGAGCGAAGGCAAAGAGGAGGACAAATACGTGATTCCTGGGAAGAGTGTCGTGTTGATCGCTGCGCGAACGCCACCGGGTCCATAGCTCACATCGCCATTCTTGAACACATTTCGCAGCACGAAATTGCTGAGAGCTCCCGATCCCTCGAAATCTCGCAGCGGATCGGGGTCGGCAGCGCTCACAAACACGTTCGCAGCGGCAGCGCTCAGGATCATCACCGTCAGCATCAACTTCTTGGATTCCATCAAAGAAAGATTATGTCGATGATCTTGAGATCTTGAAGAGCAAAAGAGAAACAGAAAGAGATAATGAGAGGGAGAAATGGAAGAGATAAGATAAATGTGCCGAGAGTGGGGTTTATATACTGTGGCAAGTCTCCAAAGTCTGCTCCAAAACACGCGTTGTCTGTATTGGTTACGTTTCTAGATTCATTACAAGTAGCTTCGATTTTTTATTTTTTACTTGACCAGGCACGTTCGGCTAGTCAATAAAAATAGCCAAGACGTAGATTTTACGAATGCATACATCTCACAGGTGTCTGACACACTAACCATTTCTATTGTTTTAGATGGAAACTTCTCGTTTTTGCTTGCTCCTAACACAATCTTCTATGACATCTTCCTCCACGTATCAACACCTGGGAGATCAGGGAAATAATTTATCATCTTTTTTGTTCACTCGATGTTCTGCGCCTGAATTCAAAACAAAGAAGAAAGATACGCACTAAGTGGACTTACCAAACAAATCCAAGACCGCTTCAAAATGCAGCCACCATCGAACTCACACATTCCTTGAGTTGTGAATGGCGTAGTTTGAGGGGCTTGGCAAATGAAGCTGCATTCCTTAGTACTCCAAAAGGACTTTTTTTTGTATAGCTGCAAAGAAGTTGGTATAACCAACAAGGTTGCCGTGGAGGCATAATGGAGGCATATTGCCCATTCATCAAGGGTTAGAGAGGTCAAGGTTTTCTTTTTTTTGAGGTGAGTCTATCTGATGTGGATAAATCCAATTATATCAGAGTATATTTAAATTCAAAAGATTATAAACAACTTTTGACTTCCTATGAGTGAATTGGATTTCAGCTAAATTGCCAAGCAATCAATATGAAGGTGCTAAAGGCCAGTTCATGCATAGTTCCATTCATCATGGTTGTCATTGCATCCTTGATCTACCCATGCATAAAGCTCCTGACCACTTTGGGTTTATGGTAGAAATGCTCTGGGCTGCTGGTCCCGCTGGGTGGCAGAGTGGCTGCTCTCATTGTTCAATCAGGTTCTGGTAGCAGGCTTTCTTTGGTTGTGAACACATTCCGTGCTATAAAGCAGGAGACCCTACAAATGTTTCTAACTATAAAATATTGGCTGCTGTGAGCATTTTTGCCGAAATTTTTGCCCACCTTGTGGAAAAACAATTGGCAGATTGGATGGACAAGAAGGACTTGCACGCACAATCAGGAGGCACTATTTTTGTATTGACCAGCTGCTTGTATTGCATGTGCTGCTTGAGAGACTTTGATACAAAAGGAACTGCACACTCTTTCTTTCCGCCGTTTGCTCATTCAGCGCCTCTTGGAAATACAAGTGCCCACACCGCTTGTAGCGGATATCATTGAGATTTATCAGACCGTTCAGCTACAAATTGTTGATGCTCCCACATACAATCGCATACAGGCATGCGCCAAGGATGTCCGCTACCAATTCTCTTTGCCATTTACGTTGACGTGCTGGAATCGATATTAAAAGGGCTATTGTACTCAGATCACCTCTTGTTGATAGCATTGACTGCAGCAAACTCTCGACATTCCCAGTGAGTTTTTTCTCTCACAAGCATGGAGGTAAATCTCAGTAAGATGCAGTTTATGATCTTTGGTCACCCCACTGAGAAAGCTTGTTTCTATCAAGGCACTTGCTACAAAGTCAACAAGTATAAATACTCAAGATAAATGAGAGGACATAAGGAATGTTTACATTGGCACTCAAAAGTAGGAGCTTAACATTCCAAGTGGACAATTAAGCTATTAGAACATAATTAGAGAAGAATGTATTGCATAAAAATTGCATAAGGAACTTTATAACAATATAAACCAACACGTTCTAAAGAGTAAAATTGCAAATCTAAGTGGTCTTGTTTCCGAGACCGTCCTAAAAAAGTAAAGGGCATTGAGGGGATAACAAAAGAAAAAACAAGAAATACAAATGAAACTTGCAAAAGATCTTTATAAACAATCAATGTTTAAACAACAAAAGATGATTAACATATTGAGTTTCAAGTCATAGAGGATATGGGAATGTTTGAGCAATAGTCTGTAGGACTTGAAGGAGCAATTTAGTGTGGATAGAAAGATAAATGTAAATTTTTATATTGATGCAAATTTAAATATAATCCATTAGACTCTTCTTAAATTTAGATTTAAAAGTACTTTTGGCTATTGAGTATCATATCTTACATTGACATGGTCTCTAAAATACTACTCATCTAAAAACTTGTCACTACTAGTTATGATCATATTGTGCATAATAACACAAATTGTGATGCAATTAAATTGTGTGTAAGGGATAAGCTTCTTATTTAAATATCTTCATTATATTTTTTGTTGACTATACACCCACTCAACTACAATTCTAATAGAGGAGTGCAAAATATTATAGTTGTAGTCATCTCTAATAAACTTTGTCGGAAATAAGGTGAGAATTCCCATATCAACATCATCTTCACCACCTGTTATCAAGTATTTTCAATGTTAGTGTAGTAAATAAACCCACATGTATTTTGAAGTTGTTTATGGACTATAATCATTCTAGATTTACAATATCCAGCTCTTAAGTCTAGAAAAAAGGTTTAATTATCAATAATAACTTACACTTCTATGTTGAATCACTGTTTATAATCCACCCACTCCTAGAAACTCAATCTAAATGTGTGTGCAATCAATAGCTTTAACGCAATTTGGAAAACTATGTAATTTCTAAAAGCCATCCTTCACTATTTAAAATTCTTCCCCTTCTAACCACTTGATATATATGCTCTTATATTTTTTCACAAGAGCTCTCATAATAAACTTCTTTAAAATCTTCTTTCTTGCCTAAAAGTCTAATGGTTGCAGAACACGCAGCTCAAGCTTCTCAACTTAATCTTGGACCTCAGTGCGAACTTCTAGCAAGGGCCGAAGTTCAAAAGTTTCGATTACAAAGTTCAGCTCCTGGACGTCGTTTAACAGGTTTACCAGAGATTTACTCAATATTTGGAGCAGATCTCTCCAATAATTCACTCCAGAATGGTCTGCCACGAAGCCCCGCTCCAGTGCTCCGGGAAGAGAGGAAGAAAAAAACAAAAATACTATGCTTCTTGGTATTAAGATTTACGGGTCAGCTTTGGCGACCTAGGCCACGATTAAATTGGCCATAGCTGAAGAGCCACACAGGTATCCGGGGGTATTTGTGAGAGCCAATCTAGCTTTGGGGCCGGAACCGGTGATAGTCATTGTAGTCTCTGGGCGCTTGTAGCTGGAACCTGTATCTCAAAATTATTTCTCCTTGATTTTCTCATCTGAGATATTGTTAAGCTTGAGTCCCAGGGTTTTTTTTAATCTCTTGCTTTGCTAACAAAGGCGTGTTTTTTAGAAGAATCAAATCAGGCAACACTGCTCTTCCAAATCTTTAAGTTGATCACACATGATCTTCCGTGATCCCTCTGTGATCTTCTGGCTTGGAGGGATCACGGAAGATCATGTGTGATCAACTTAAAGATCCCCTGCTATAGACGAATTCGGATACCGTGGAAAAGAATTTCTCAGTGAAGCCTTGGTCTTGCTGGGAGATCGATCAACTTACAAGTTAATTTGGAGAAGGCCGCGCGTACACGAGCCCTCAACTTCCACAAATTACGACGTCCACTCCTCCACTTTGGGAAGATGGTAGGCTGGCCAAGCCAGAGTGCGATGGGAAAGCCGAACTTAGGCCATTGGCCTTCATAATCACCAATAAACCCCGTCCAGGTAAGTATGAAACTCCTCCCCAGACCCTAGCTTATATACTGCTCTTGTGCCCTCATTCCTCGCCTCGGCATGTGGGATAGCAAAGAATTGCCCTAGCCACGTGTCACTATCACGAATGGCTCGGGGGATCTAGCTTAGCTATCTCATCGCCGAATCTTACACCCGTCAAGTAGCAGCTTCCACGCCGAGGCCGGGGCTACGAACGGCGTGCCTGCTGCCAGCTCCTCGGCGTTGCCCAGCTCCACTCGGTCAGCAGTGCGATCAGTCATCGGTCAGCTCCAATCGCGCAGTAGTGCTCCATGCTCGGCCGGATGCCGTAGCCATGTCCACAGCGTCGTCCAGGCACCGGAGCCAAGAATGCGCGCTACAAACCGCCGAGAGGACCACTTGCCACTTGGTCGGGCATCTGCTGGCCCCAGCAGTTCTCCGTGTTGAAAATCTCCAGCGCCTGCCCCGCGCGGTTGTTGATGGGTGCACGCCTCCATGAGGGACGCCCAGGTGACGGTGCTCCTCACCAGCACCACGTCAAACAGCTCCTTTGCCTGAATCAGATGCCCGGGCATGGAATCGAACAGCTCCGCTGAGCGAATGCTGCTAGCACCGCGTTGGCGGCGATGGAATCCGAGGCTGGACGCTCTGGAGCATCTCACTGTCCTCGTCGACCAGGCCGTTGCTCGCGTACGCCCCAGGGCCTTTTGTGCGGCATCCACTTGCTCGCTTCTGCCACCTTGCACTGTACGCCATCATCTGGATCCAAGGGAGAGATGAAGAAACGTCCCTGACCTCCTCCCAATGCCCGTTGTTCACACGTAGGCCTCGAAGATCGCCTGGTATGCCTCGTTCCTCGAACGCGTCCGGGCCTCCTCCATGCCACCTCGCTTTCCAAATGCCTGGATCGTCACCTTCTTGAGCTCGCGGTTGTCTCGGGTGTGGTTGTCCTCACCTCAAGCAGGTTCTCGGCCTCCAGGAGCCTGGTCGTGCGGCCTCCGGATTTCCATACGGTCTGGAGATCCTGCGCAGCCGAATTGCTGTGTGTTTGTTCCGCCTCTCCTCGGTGAAGGGCTTTCCCATTTTCTTCCGGAAGATGCCCATAGCTCAAGAAACTTTCGAAGTCGCAAACTCTGTCGATCATGGACATGGCTAAAAGATTTTCATCTCTCGCAAGCACGACGAGCAAAAGGAAAACAATGCAATACTGTGCCTTCGCCGGCCGTGGAGCTCGAAGCCAGGACCACGAGGTTAAGAGCCTTGTGCTCGACGAATTTCCAAGAAATGGAGCAGCTAGATCGCAGAGTGGGAACCTGGAAGAAGCGAGGTGCGCGCCTTTGAGAGTAAGCCCGAGCACAACACAGTCTCCTTCACGACGATTTTCCCGGCATATGTCCACAACAGGCATCCTGAAGCGGCAGCGCGGATCTTTGCACTGATGCCTCGCTGCGACATTTCTTCTTGGAACGCAATGCTAACAGCATTTTTCCATGCTCTGGATATTTCCAAAGCGGAAGAACTCTTTTCTCAGATGCCCGAGCGAGATCTCGCGTCGTGGACGTCGCTTCTCTGGGCATATGCCCAGACGGGCACCTGGACGTTTGATTCGATGCCTCAGCCCAATTTGATCTCGCATGCGTACAGAGGCCCCTGCTCCAAAATTTTGGAATGTCTGGGAATTGAGCCATTTGCTGCTTTGCGCTCGAAGTGGAGAAGTGGAGAGAGCGAGGTCCTGCTTCGTTTCGATGTGGAAGCTAGAATGGAGCACTACAGCTGCAAGGTGGACGCTCTCAGCAGAGTTGGGCGCTTGGATCAAGCCCGAGACTTGATTGCGAGCATGCCGTTTACTTCTATGGACAAGCCTGCCGCAGAGATGGGTGCGTTCGTGCTGACAGTAGGAAAGAAAGAGATTTACGGGCCAGCTTTGGGGCTGTGTACCTAATGCTATCCTCTAGACCACGAATAAGTTGGCCATAGAGACTTAGCCTGAAGAGCCACACTGTCTGCCAGAGCGGTCGCGGGCAAGCGGCCCATTTCCGGGGGATCCAAACGCTAATGTTTCAAGCTCTCCCCTGAGAAATTCCTCTCTTCTCGACCCCTTTATATACTCAAAATGATGGCGCAATGGCATGTCGGGATCAAAGAATCATACATGGAATCATAGCTAGAGCCACGGAAATTCTTAAGACACATGTCAATGTCCGGTAGATCAAACTTCATCGAAACTTTGGCCTCGTTTCCATGAGCTAAAAAGAGCGAAGGAAAGCTTACGAAGTCCATGAAGTGCGTGAGAGCCAGTGAAGAGCGAAGTAGGTTCTTTCCAGCGATGTAAAGGTCCTGAGAAACACAATAATAGAAGGAACGTTCATGCTTCCACACAGGATTACGTGATGGCAGAATTGGAGGCCTATGAAATACAGCTTAGAGAGTCTATCCGTGAGTATGATCCCAAGACTGAAGAAGCTGGTGCTTTTTCAAGTGCTCTTCGAGAGCTGTGATCTCCTTGGTAAACTCTGTCTGGAGTTTTCAGAGGCAGCTCCTTGAACTTCTTCTCCACAGTCTTGAAACGGTGGAGCAAGCCAGAAAACCTGTTCGGGATCGCCAACGACACACAGGTTCTTCTCTCTCTCGGTGTGGAACGAGCCGCTAATCCAGGGGCTTGGAGGTTTAATCTCTCGGGAGTTCTTCTACGATCTTCCGATGACAGAGAATATAAAGTTCGAATCTGGATGCGAAAGCACTCTTTTTCCTTGCATTGGGTAGGAAAATTGCAAATGGCCAAAAAATACATTCGTTAATGGTTTCATGGTGTAGTTGGTCATCACGTCAGTCTTACACACTGAAGGTCTCCAGTTCAAACCTGGATGAAGCCACATTTTTCTTGGCTTCATTTTACTTGTGGGTTAGGAACAATAAAGCATGCCCAGGAAAGGCATTTGGCGGCAACACACACGAGTTCAAGCCAATTTCTTTGCTTTAATTATACTTACACTGCACTGAAGATCTCCAGTGTCACTCGAGGATGGTTTGTCGTCTAAAAGCTCTAGATCTTCGAGCACTGGCCGAGAGGATTCCTGAAGCGTGCTAAACAAACACGAGAATGCTCCAGTCGAGAATGGAGCGGTGTATTACTTGAGGAGGAGAGATTGGAGAACCAGGAAGAGCGGAAAGGATACTCCCATCCATCTCCAATTCTTGTTTGGAGCTCAAAGATCACCTCTTTAAAAGAGTTAGTGGCGAAGTCTTTCCTCGACCTTCGATCAAACTTCGAAGCAAACCAAAACTAAAGATCGTCACAGCTTAGTGTATTTCGATACGGTGTCGTTCCCTCTCCTGGATGATAGCGAGAACGCCACTATGGTTGCTTGAACTACGACACCGTGGACGCTCCCAACACTATGTGTGAATGCAAACTAACTACGTCAGAGTAAGCCTCAGACTATATGTGTTAATTGACTTGTTATAGATTCTCCGTGTCTCTCTTTTTCCAGGTGAGACCTCGGCTGTCTACATAGTGCTACTTTCTTTTCTGAAAGTTAAAGCTGCGATTATGAGACTTTGAGCAGCACAAGATCTGGAAAAAGGTACAAGCCTTTGTTTGGAGCTGTGAAATACTGCATTCCTTGTGGTTGCAAGCACACAAGCGTGGTGCACTGTGCTCCTGCTTTTGGAGAGGACGATTATTGTTTCTACATGGAGGCTGGCATTACAGCCAAGGTCTACTGCTTCGATTTATTTCCTGGCTTTCTTCTCACGTTTTTACGTTTTCAAGGGGAGATGAGAAGAAATGAAGTGCTCTCTTGACATTAGCACCAAGCAAAGTTTGCAGTTATTTGGAGAATCTGGAAGTACTCCATCCACAAAATCATGTCCTCCGTTTAAATAGCAAATGACTAGGTGGAAGTTGGTAAGTTGCTATCACAAAACTCTTTCAGTCTTCTCGAAATTTTTCTATATCGTGGCAGGGCTCGAACCGTGCCAAGGCGCTACGTGGCGAGCAATCGTTTTGATCTTTCCACGCTGTACACGCGAATCTCTCGAAGATATTTTGCGCGATATTTGCCAGGGCTGGGAGATATTTGCCGCCGAAGCAACCACAGCCTGCCACGTCGCCGCGAGTGGATCACATCACCTGATGCCCCCATTTGTGGCCAATATTTGTTTCTTAGGGTTCCTCCGGGAGGCGCTGCCAGTGTGTAGCGATTTGATAGATCGCGCCTGGAATTCCAGCGATGCGTTCTTGCTGAATTATGTCATCCCCTCAGCAGAAATGGCTGACCGGCCTTAAATCTACATCGCTGTTCCGGGCGCCTCCGCTAGATCTCCACGAAAGACAGGTATTGCAGTTTCCTTTGCTTTTGGGAATAGAATTTCACTCCAGTTTCTGTGCTGCACAGACCAAGACTGTCGCTTACGTTGAGCTCTTCGGCCAGTTTGCTTCGGACAGCTTTCCTGAAGATATTGCGGAGGTTTTTTTCTTCCTCCTCCTCAAATTTGCACTGATTTTTCTTGCTTCTTCCTTAGCTTGTTCGTGATCACTATCCACACAAGGAACCTTGCCTTTTAGACGACGTGCTAGGTACTACCCATTTTTCGTTTGATTCGTGTTTTCCTGGAGTCTGATCGTTTGGATGGTTCCTGCAGCTACTTTCGTCCTCCATCATCCAGAGCACGGTCACACGATCCTGCATCCTCTCCTGTCCTGCGTGATCGATGGGACCTTAGCTTACAGCAAAACTACTCCTCCCTTTGGATCTTTTGTTTCAGTCTTTGGTGTTTCTAGCGAGGTAATAGTCACATATTACATATCTTGGCTGATCGCTGTAAACGTTTACTTCATTTTTGCAGAGAGATTTGACAGAGCAATGGGCTCTTGCCTGTGGAGAGATATTGCGCCTCTTGACACACTATAACCGACCGATTTACAAGTCTGAGAGTTCTGCTGATGGAGAGAAAAGAAGCTCTTCTGACAGTGGGGACCCGGCGGACAGAGACGGAAGTGGAAGTCCAGACAACGGAAGGCGAGCACCAAAGCGGCTCTTGACGCCTTGGATCACAGACAGCCTTCTCGCTGCGCCATTAGGCACAAAGAGCGACTACTTTCGCTGGTAAGTAGCAGTCAAGCATTTCTTTTTGTCCGAAATGACCATTTCTTGCCAGGTGTGGTGGAGTTTTGGGAAAATATGCTGGCGGCGGAGATCTTAGGCCACCGACAACTGGTGAGTGACGAATTCATTTTGTCTTGCTTGAAATAGTTGCGTTTGTGATCAGCTGTTAGCGGCAAAGGTCATGGAAAGCATCCGCAGCTACTGTCCTCGACTCCTCGGTGGGCTGTTGCAAATGGAGCCGCAGTTATTTCCAGTGTGTGCGATGACGAAGTTTTACGTTACGAGACAGCGGATTTAACAGCTGCTGCAGTTCCAGCGTTGCTTCTTCCACCTCCAAGCACTAGCCTGGACGAGCATTTAGTCGCAGGATTACCACCTCTGGAACCATTTGCACGCTTGTTTCACCGGTAAGCCAAGAGCTTGTTGGTTGTAAGTTAAAGCTTGTATGTCTGGCCACCATCACGTAGATACTATGCTATTGCGACTCCTGGAGCTACTCAGCGTTTACTTCTTGGGCTTCTCGAGGCCCCTGCCTCATGGGCCCCGGATGCGTTAGACGCTGCTGTTCAGCTGGTTGAGTTACTTCGTGCCGCAGAAGATTACAGCAGCTCGTCCTTCAGAGTACGTGATCTTCTCCTTGTCATTATCCCAGCGTGTGCTGATGTTTTCTTGTTTGCAGCTGCCTGAGAATTGGTTCCGTCTTCATTTTCTCAGGCCGATGGGTGCAGCGATGACGATGAAGCAGGGGATTGCATCTGATGCTGCAGCTGCCTTACTTTTCCGTTTGTTCTCGCAGCCCGCGCTGCTCTTCCCTCCCAGAGGACATGCGCAAGGCGCTCAGGTCGTGCAGCCTCTATATGGACCTCCGATACGTTTGGATGGTAGTGAGGAGGTACCGAAAACTTGCATCGCTTTTGTTCAGGCATTGACGTATTATTTCATGCACAGATGGAGGCACTGGCAACCCAGGTAAATGAGGAAGCTACTGCAAAGGGGGTGGCATCTTTAATGCGGGACCATGGCCGCGACGTGGAATGGCGGATATGTGTGCTCTGGGAAGCAGCCTATGGACTCATTCCACTTGACAAGTCCGTCGTCGACCTTCCAGAGATGGTGATAGCAACGCCTTTGCAGCCACCGCTGCTATCCTGGACGTTATTCAGGCCCTTCTTGCGTGTTCTGGAGCACGTACCAAAAGGCTGCCAGTCTCAAACTTGCTTGCGAAGGATATTTTCGGCGACAGTGGATGCTATCCTGCGAAGAACGTTCCCGCTTGACGACTGGAAAGAACAGAAGAACGGGAACTTCAGAAGTGCGTCGGGCTCAGGGGTTGATCCTGCCGGGATGGCGGAGCTACGTGCCTTGGTTCACTGCCTGTTTACGGAGGCGTTCCTTGGTCCGGCTCTTGCGTCGCAGCTACTGTCGGACGCTCTCACAGTCTGCCTCAGCCATGACACTCTACGCCAGGGGAATGGAAGTGACAGTAGCAAGAAGAGGAGCACTCACAGCTCAAACAAGGACAGAGGAGCTGTTGCAAGCTTCGACTCGTATCTCATTGCGGCGGTCTGCGCACTGGCGTGTGAAGTTCAGCTATGCACTTTCTCAGCAGCCGATGGTACTGCTTTCAACGGGGTGACGAACTCGGCGTACCAAGCGCGAAGACTGATGTCGGTTCTCGAAGGCCTCTTGGTGGTCGAGCCTTTCTCTCCGGGAGTTGGACCCAACACCAACAGTCCCAACGATCTCGTCGAGGCGGCCATCGTAGCTGCGCACATATCCAGGCTTCTCGGGAGATCACGGGCTTGCACGCACGCACTGACTGCCATTGTGCGGTGCAAATGGGATCCCGGAGTGAGCTCCAAGGCGGCATCGATCCTTGCGTTGGTCGATGGCAACGACAAAGCAGTGGAAGCAGTGTTCAACTATGCGGACAAGCTGAGTGGTGACGAGAAGCGCACACTTTCTTCCAAGCAGGCGCAGAAAATCATCAGTGGATTCACGAAAGATGGCGTGAAGGACGCTTCACTGTCTCTCAACGCCTCCGACGTGACAAACCTCCTGTGCGGTTGCAATGGAGTGAGCACCACGGTCAGTGACTTGCTCAAGGCGGTGCTCAAGCAAAAGCGAGACTTGGCCGTGGCGATTGTTCCGCTGCTCTGGCAGAGGCTCATGTCCGCGGAAGAGCTTCCGACGAGCAAAGAAGGGACGTCAGCCAAGCAGGGATGGCGTCAGGTGTGTGTGTGTGTGATCTTCTCTCCAGCTTCGTTTCTCATCTTCGTATTTTTGGCCTTGCAGGTTGTGGACGCGGTGTGTAACGTCGTGCTAACGTACCCGGAGAAGGCGACCTCGGTGGTGCTGCTCCAGGTAATCCGCGAGATGCTTTCTCCGCAAGAATGTAGTTGTGAATGTTGAAACGTGACAGGAGGCTGGATTGTTCAGGCTGAAAGAGGTATCCAACCGTGGATCATTGGAGATGGAGGAGAGGAGAAGTGGCGGATGAACACGCGCATTGTCTTCCTGCTGAGCGAGCTTCTCCGGCTGAATGATCCACAAGTTCTTGGGCTCATCGCAAACGCGGGGACACTGCTGTACCAGGCGACCGACGGCATGTCCGTGGATGGAGAGCCTTGCACACTGCCACAGCTCGAGGTAAAAGATGGAAAGCATCACAGAACGCTCAAAGCCAAGTTTTTGTGTTTGTGTTCTTCAGTTGCTGGAGGCAATCGCCATGGCGATCAAGTCACTGTGCGCTTGGAAAGTTTCTTCTCGAGGATTACTGATCCTGCTCAAGGTACGTGACGGTTGCTTGAGAAATGGAGCAGTGCTGATGCATCATCCTTTGCAGGAACGCTTGCCAGCGATTGTGAGGTGCCTGTCGCACGACAGTCCTCGCATCCGAGCGTCGAGCGCTTCATTGCTGCGAGAGATCGTTTCGACTGATGTCTTACGTGCGAGCTATCCGGGTGACAAAGCTGGCGCTTGGCTTGAGGACGTGGAGCAGTCCATTGCGTGGGAAACGCATTACAGGCGAGCGGAAGGACTGTCCGAGTCTTTCCTGGCGTCGGCAGCCATAGCTCTGGGATGTAAGCTCCCCCCAAGCTGAAAAACCGGGTTGTTTTTACAATCTGTGCTAGTACTTGTGCTTGTTCGATCTATATAGCTGACTGGAATAAGCGAAACCACAGTTTCAGATTTTATTTGACCATAGCTTTCTTACCTCTAAAGTTCCTCAGAGCTTTCATGAGCGATCACTTCTGTTTTTGAGGAGTTTGATGAACTCGCAGCCATTCGACTCCATTAGGTGCTCCTTCCTGTCCAATGCATCACGATAAGTATCACACTTGACGAGAGCGCTTGCTTACCTTGTCTTTAAACACGGCTGTTGCATAGTAGCCTTTGCGATTCTCCCCTTAGGCACCGAAACATGACAGTAGAACTTATGACAATGGTGTTTTGAGGAGAAGCGTTTTACCTGAAGGCTGCTCCCAAGACTGCCATGTCGCAAGATACACTCCCGGGGCTAGCTCCTGTTCCTGAATACTGTCCACCCAAGTCCGGAGTTCTTTCCCTTGAAATGCTCCATGCTGTCCCCGAACAACGGCGAGGGACTGTAACAAATTTAATTCTTCTCCCCAGGGATACACCATTCTTGCATCTTCAGCCTGGACAAGAACAAAGCCGGTAAAAAAGAAGAAAAAGCTTTTGGACACTTACAATCACCGATGTCAATCTTTGAAAGGCCTCGTCAGTGTTCGGAATGTCACCTTTAACCCACTTGTCGAAGAAGATATAGAAATCGACAATTTCTCGCCTTGGAGACGCGGCTCCGTTCGAGTTACCACCCGGCCTCTCTCGTGGAGGCAAGGCCGGTCCCATGTCGAAAAACTTGAGAGCTTCGATTATACCCCCGGCACATCTGTTGCTTGCGAAGTGGATGTGATCTTTCGAGGACTGAGAGCTGTACCATTTGACAAGCTCCTCGAATGCATTGCCAACCTGGTGAATGAGTAGACGTTACTGAAGGAAAAAAAAGAAAAAAAGAAACACTATTTGTGCTTACTATGACTCCATTGACGCCCTTGACGGTGAAAAGCTCCACGTCGTTCCCAGAGTCTCCACAAACAAGGACTCGTTCTTTCGCCCATCCCTCCGAGTTAGCCTTCTTCATGAGATACGCCAGTGCCTCGCCCTTGCCTGCGCGTTGAGGAAGAACATCCAGGTCAATGCCCCCACTGTATATCAACTTCGCATCAAGCTGTTCATCACAACTGCAAGAATCAGAAAAACCATCAAACAAAACTAGCAAACAAAGACGACTAATTGTCCCAACACTCGCCTTCAGTTCTTTGAACTTCTTTGAAAATCGCCGGATGATCTCCTCGGCATCCTTTTTCTCGACCTTGAAGCTCACTTTGTGAGGACGTTGTTCCGAATCCTCCTGTCGACAGAGGCAAAAAAACAAAAAATTCTTTTTTTGGAAACACCAGAAAGCAAAGAACCTGAAACTGGAGCGTCGCAAATTTTTTGGCCTCCTCGACTATGATCTCTCGGTTCCATCCTTCGTCCAAATGCTCTTCCCAGCCATTGTCAGGAGTCATTGAAGGACCATACCGGATCTCAGTGCCAACGGAACAAATGATCGTGTCCGGCGTGAGGAGAGGAACCTGCCTCCGCAAATCCAAATACTTCTCGGGAGATCTCCCAGACGAAAACACGAGATGGCAATCCCGAGAGTACTCAGCTTCCCACAGGGACGCAAAATCCAGGAGAGAAGAATGAGTTTGATCCTTGTGATCCACCTGAGGCCAAAATTTTTCGAGAAATTCCAAGAGTATAACAGAAATGTAGGCTTACCATGGTGAAATCAAGGTCTGAGACAAGCATCACGCTGGGAGACGACGCGGCGGCATTGGCATTCTTCCGCGCTGCAAGAGCCCTAATTCTGGGAAAACAAGGACCTTGGCGCCGGTCGATCCAGAGTGGAAACGAGGAGAATTCCTGCGGCGGCAACCATAGAGAAGCTCCCAGCGCTGCCACGGCCATGGTGGAGGAAAGTGAGGAGCCCTAAATTTCGGACTCTAGACGACCGTTTAAAATTTGACTTTGATGGGTACTTTAGGGCATGGGAATCGAACCGATGATGCGGGCATGGCTGCTACTCCAGCGATAGCGATGAGCGTGGAATCGTGCCGAGCTCTTTCTCCCGGATGGATTCTCTCCCAGCGCAGGCCTCTTGTTTCCAGGATTTCTTGCTCAGGTGAGCTCAGTCGCACGAGCATTGGCGCTTGCTTATTTCGGCGGTGATATTCCCCGGATTCCTGGAGCAGGATTGGGATCAAGGAGCGCGGTGTCGCGAGAATCACTGCAGCTGGCCAGGGGGCGCCTCGGCCTCTCCTCGCATTTTCTGGAATCAAGAACAGTGGCTCGCATCGTCGCTAGGGTCTTCGATCAATCGGCAGCAGGAGCGGCTGCCGCACCATTCGGCGACGAGAATCTGCAAGGTATGGCATCGATATTTCGATCAAAAGCTCTTGATCGATCACTCGTCCAGGGATCACTCTCTTTCACAAGTGCCGGGCGGTCCTTTTCTATTTGACAACGACGCTAGTGGCAATACCATTGTTCCTGGTGATGCTACTCCAGCATCCTCTGGTGCTTCTCCTCGACAGGCAGCGGAGGAAAGCACAGCATCTCATCAACAAGCTCTGGGCGTCGGCGAGCACATTTTTTTTCTACGAGGTGGAGATTGTTGGCAAAGAGCATCTACCGCATCCCAATGAGCCCGCCGTTTACATCTCAAATCACCAGAGCTTCCTTGACATCTTTGCCTTGTTCCAGCTCGGTCGACCCTTCAAGTTCATCAGCAAGACTAGCGTGTTCTTCATTCCAATCGTGGGGTGGGCGATGTACTTGACGGGTCACATACCTTTGCATCGCTTGGATGCCAAGAGTCAGCTGGTTTGTTCTTTTGATTTTCTTTTCTTTCGTTTCATCGTCTCGTATCTTCTCCAGGAATGTCTTCGGCGTTGCATTGAGTTGCTCAAGCGAGGAGTGTCGGTGTTCTTTTTTCCAGAGGGAACAAGGAGTACCGATGGGACACTAGCTGCATTCAAGGTGGGGTGTTTCCAACTTTTTGTCAATGCCATACCATGTTTTTTTTTTGTGGTTTGCAGAAAGGAGCATTCTCGTGTGCTGCTAAAGCTAAAGTTCCGGTAGTTCCCATTGCTCTTGTAGGTACTGGACATCTTATGCCCAACGGCAAAGAGAACGTTTTGAGAACAGGGAAAGTGAAGATCGTCATACATCCGCGCGTTCAAGGAGGCACTGCCGACGAACTCTGCGACCAGGCACAAAAGTATATTGTGAGCTCTGTCGCTATTAGTCCTGTGAAGCGACCTTTCAACAGCAGCATCGAAGAACTATGATTTTCCAGGAGTGAAAGGCGCGAGTTTGCAGTGTTACCAGCAGCAGCAACATCGCGAGACTGGGATTTAAATGACAACATCGAGAGAAAGGTGAGCCCTTTCATGCAATTTTTGCTCTGACTAGCTCGATTTCTTTCCATAGGCAACTTCCGGGAATCTATTCCTGCAAAGTTACACGCGTCGAATTTCTATGTATCTTTGATTTTTAATGAGGTGGATGATAGAGCGCCACTTGTTGCTTGGAAATCTCTTACATGTAGGTACAAAATGCTCCACTTTGTCTAGGGCTTTATCACAATGGCGCAGAGTGGTAGCAGCATCTACGATCTCACCGTGCAGGCAAGTGTTTCTTTTTTCTATCTACCTCGCTCATTTTTTATCCTCTAACAGGACATCGACGGCAAGGATGTTCCTCTCAGCCAGTACAAAGGCAAGGTTATGCTCATCGTCAATGTGGCGTCTCAGTGGTATGTTCACCGTCTCTTGTGATTTTCATTCCCGTGAAATTCATTCCTCTCTTCTTGTGGCAGTGGATACACAAATGACGCTTACAAGGAGATGAACGAGCTCTATGCCAAGTACAAGGATAGCGGTGAGTGGTATCCTGTTTTGTTGCTGAAGTTACAATCTTCTTTGGCAGGCTTCGAGATCCTGGCATTTCCTTGCAACCAATTCGGCAACCAAGAGCCTGGCTCAAACGAAGAGATCAAGGAACGAGCTTGCACTCGTTTCAAAGCTGAGTTTCCCATCTTTCAGAAAGTAAGTTTGGTACCTTTTTTTTGTGTTTTCTGCATCAACTGGTTTGTGCTTTCAGGTGGATGTTAATGGAAGCCACACCGCACCGCTTTTCAAGCTGCTTAAAACTGAAAAGGGGGGATTTCTGGTTGATGCTGTCAAGTGGAACTTCACGAAGTTCCTGGTGAATAGAAAGGGCGAGGTCGTGGAGCGTGAGGGTCCATCAACAAGCCCTCTGAAAATGGAGGTACGTGGAAGTTAAAAGCATAGTTCTGTTGGGTCTCACAAGATCATCATCTTATTGTCCGCAGAAGCACATCAAGAAATGGCTAGACGCTCCTGCAGCTTGAGAATTAGTGAAAGCCTTTGTTTCTATTTCCTACTATCATGAATAAAATTAAACTTGTATCTGTACATAGCCGGTCTTATACAAGATCCGCAAGAAACGCTTCATTGAGGTCAGTTTTCTTGTTTTCCTTTCTGCTTCTAATCCCGTTGAGTCTGTCCACTACAATCTGCATTGTAGGACGAAGGCTTGGAGACTTCTCTACACAGGCTAGAGCGATTTCCAGCACTAACTTGTAGCACTGTTCTTCCGCTCCCATCTCAAGCGCGAGTTCCTCCACTGGCATCAACTTCACCCATTCAACCAGGTCCAGATCGTTAGTAGCGTCTCTCCATGTCGCCATCTTTCCCGTCAGCACTTCCAACACTACAATGCCGAAGCTGTACACGTCCGCTCTCTCGTCGACTTTCAGAGTGTAAGCATATTCTGGATTCACAAAACCATTGTTTGTTTGTATCACTTTTTTCTTTCTTCTAGCTTCGTACCTGGAGCAATGTAGCCGTGTGTTCCAGCTAACTTGGAAGCAGTGCTCGGTTTATCTTCCCTCAATAGCTTGGCCAGGCCGAAGTCCCCCAGCCGAGGCTTCATCTCTGCATCCAACAGAATGTTATCACACTTGACGTCTCGGTGCACGACTTTGGGCCCGTAGTCGTGATGCAAGTACGCAAGCCCTTCGGCTATGCCAGTTATGATTTCAACCCGTTTGTCCCATCCAAGGCTGAAGCTCCTCGCCATCTTTCCGTGGAGAAGATCTCTCAGGTTTCCCAGTGGCATAAATTCGTACACCAGGAGATGACTTTTTTTGTTTGTGCAGGAGGCGAGCAACTTGACGACGTTCCTGTGCCGGATATTTCCGAGCGTTGCGACCTCCGCGTCAAATTCAGCTACATGGCTGTGATCTTCGCTCTGGACCTCCTTCACTGCAACCCGTATGCCACCTTTGAGCACTCCTTTGTACACGTTGTTTCGTCCTCTGCAGATGAGATTGTCCTTGCTTTCGACGCACTCAAGGACGTCTGCCAGAGAAATCAACTTAACTTGGTACGAAGTAAGTGTCCACTCTTCTTCTGGTTTGCTCAAGCTTTTGTGTCGTTTAGGAGGATGGATCCAGCACCAGAAAAAGGAAACCAGCGCCAGTGCTGAAAGTGCTACGATTGTTATGACGAGCATCCGTCTCGAAACCCGATCTTGCGGCTTCTGCTTCTCCGTGTTGCATGAACCAGGCCAGCACAGCATGGTATTTCTTTCGAGGTTGGCATCGATCTTCTTGCAAAAGGCCGGGACGCTTCCAGACAGATCATTATATGAGAGATCGAGTTTCAAGAGGTTGGGGGACTGTCCGATTGCCAGCGGTATTTCACCGTGGAGCCGGTTGTGCGAGACATCTACGATACTGAGCTTTTCCATCATTCTTAAGAGCAACCTTCCCTGGAAGCTGTTCCTACTCAGATTCAACGTAGTCAAGCTGCCGCAACCCGAGATCAAAGCTGGAACGTCCCCGACGAAAAAGTTGCTACTGAGATCGAGATCCGTAAGATTTTGAAGCTGTCCAAGCTGTAGAGGAAGAGTTCCAGACAGGCGATTGCTAGCCAAGTTGAGTTTGACCAAGCTTTGTGAAGTTTCGAGCACCGCCGGCAACTCACCTGTGAGGTAATTGAAAGACAGGTCCAAGAGGTTCAGCATCGGCATGTCTCGCATGGAGAGGCTCCCGTTGAAACGATTATGAGCGAGGGTGATGGTGTGGACATTCGACTGGGAAAAGTGGACGCTGCCTGTGAGGAAGTTGTCGTCAAGACGGAGCCTGTCCAAGTTCCGACACTGCTGGAGTTGCACTGGCAGATCTCCCGAGAACTGATTGTTTCGTGCGGCAAGGTACTTCAAGCTTCCATTCTGACAAAGAGCTGGCGGAAGTTTTCCAGTGAAATGATTCTGGGATAGATCGACGCTCCGGAGTGCTGTTCTGCTTCCAAAGTCTGGAGGGAGTTCTCCAGTGAGGGAGTTGCTATTCAAGGTGATAAGCGAGACATTGTCGTGCTCCGCGAGCCACCGAGGAAACTTACCTGTGAGTTTGTTGCTGGCTAGATGGAAGATGGAAAGTTCCTTCATCCCTCCGAGCTCTTCGGGGATCACTCCTTCGAGTCTGTTGTACGCTACGTCGAAGTTCTTCAACAGGGACAGATTTCCGAGCTGCGGTGGAATACTTCCGGCCAGATTGTTGTAATGGACAAACAACACTTCAAGGCTTGACATCATTCCGAGCTCAGGTGGAATGGCTCCGGACAAGTTGTTCTCGGACACGTCCAAGATATGCAGCTTCGTCAGGTGTTGGAAGGATGGTGGGATTGAGCCACTCAGGTTGTTCTTCATGAAACCGATCACCTCCAGTTCCGTGAGAGCGCCGAGACAGTGGGGTATCTCTCCTTCGAACTTATTAGTGGCGAGAAAAATTTTCTGCAAGTCGCGAAGCTGGCAAACACCCGAAGGTATCTCTCCAGTGAGATTGTTGTCATGCAAATCGAGATGCCGGATTAGAGTTGAGCTTCCAAGGCTGGCGGGAATGGTGCCGGAGAAGTTATTGTCAGCGAGAGAAACGTTCTCCAGACGATCGAGCTTGCTAAACAGGTCTCGAGGAATTTCTCCCTGGAGAAGGTTGCTTTGGAAAGACAAATGCGTCAGGGATCGAAGACTCACTATGTCGGGTGCAAGGACGCCTCCAAGATTACTGTCAGGAAGCTCGAGCTTTACCACGGAAGAGTTAGTAGTGTCACAGGACACTCCTTTCCACGAGCAGATGGCAGACGCAGTTCCTGTCCAATCCTGGAGCTCTCCTGCGGAATCCACAAATGAGTTTTTGAGAGCGACTAGTGCCTGATGATCACGATCGAGATCAGCCTTGGAGATTACTACCAGGAGTAGGAAATAGATCACACAAGGTACCATATCTCTTTTCCTTTTTAGTTTTTGTTGCTCTCTAACTATATGAGCCTCGAGCTCTTTCTTTTTTGCTGCAGAGTGTGCTGGAGAGCGTATGTCCAATTTAAAGCTTCACAGGTCAAACCATATTGGACGTGAGTGCATGAATATATCTTCTTTGGCCGCAATAGCAGCAGTCTCACACAATAATGGACAGAATCGAAATTACTAAGAGGCCCACACAGTGTAAGGAAATTTGCTTTTCTAGTCTTCAGTCGTCATCTCCTTGAGTTTTAGTCTTTACAGAGTCTCTTGAACTGACACTAGGCGAGGGGCACTAAGGAAAGGAATACGATGGTAGTGTCACAGTTTTCGACTGTACTCCGGCATTTCTCCCATCTTGACAGTCTTCGATGCCAGCTTCAAGTTTTTCAGCACTTCCTTCGCTTCCATCCACCTTATCCTTCTCTAAACCTGTAAGTTTTCCTTTCCTCCTCACGACACTGAGCCTTTCTACGACCATTTCCATCGTAGGCCTCCGGCTCGGACACTTCTCTACGCAGCTTAGAGCTATCTCCAGCACCAATGCATAGCTCTCCGTGTCAGCTTCTACTGCAAGCTCCGTCACTGATTTTCCCTTGGCCCATTCCACCAGGTCCAGATCGTTCCTGTGATCTCTCCATGTGGCCATTTTTCCCGTCACCACTTCCAACATCACGATCCCAAAACTGTACACGTCCGCCTTCTCGTCGACTTTCAGGGTGTAAGCATACTCTACAATCACAACCAGGTTTTAACACGTTAAACGTTTCATGTTAGATTCGTACCTGGAGCAATGTAGCCGTGACTTCCAGCGAACTTGGAAGCAGTGCAAGGTTTATTGCAATTCAATAGCTTGGCTAGGCCGAAATCTGCCAGTCGGGGTTGCATGTCCGCATCCAAGAGAATGTTCTCACACTTGACGTCTCGGTGGACGACTTTGGGGCCGTAGTCGTGGTGCAAGTACGCAAGTCCATCGGCTATGCCGCAGATGATATCAATCCGCTTGTCCCACCCAAGGCTGACGCTCTTCGCCATCTTACCATGAAGGAGTCCCCTCAGGTTTCCCATTGGCATATATTCATATACCAAGAGATAAGTTTCTCCGTCTGTGCAGGAAGCAAGCAGCTTGACAACGTTTCTGTGCCGCATCGCTCCCAGTGTTGCAACCTCAGCGTCAAACTCCCATCGGCTATCATCTGTTGCCTGGAGCTTCTTCACAGCAACTCGAATGCCATGGTCCTTCAGCATCCCTACATAAACACTGCTTCTTCGGCCAGATACGAGTTTGTCACCCTTCTCCACACACTCCAAGACGTCTTCCACGGACCCTTTCTTGGTATGGTACCAATTTATCTCCCACTTCTTTTTTTCAAGCTCCCGGTTTTTGTATGGCGGGCAGCAGAATGACAGGCAGCTCCCAACGATCAGAATAAACGCGACCGTGGAGATCGTTGCTACCGCGATATACAGGGCCCTGGTGTGAAGTACTTGCCGCTCCACGTCTTTTTCCTCGAGTTTGCACTGCTCTGGCCAACAGAGCATGGGATTCCCTGTGATGTCGGTCACCATCCTCTTGCAAAAGGCCGGCACCTCTCCGGACAGATTGTTGAACGAGAGATCAAGGTTCTCAAGAGCAGGAGATCGTCCAATGGCCAGAGGTATTCCACCGTGAAGCTGGTTGTGCGAGAGATCCAGTGCGTTAAGCTTGTCCATCCTCTCAAGAGCAATCGTCCCACTGAGGCTGTTCCTGCTGAGATTGAGCGTGACCAGGTTGCTGCAGCTGGAAACCGACAGGGGTATCCCTCCTTCGAGATTGTTGTCACTGAGATCAAGGACTTCGAGCTGCTTCAACTTGAAGCCGAGGTTGCGAGGAATGCTTCCGGAGAAACGATTTCCGGCCAACAGAAGCTTCTGCAAACCCGTGAGCGAGCTCAGCTTCTCTGGTAAGTCGCCTTTCATTCGATTCGAGCGTAGATCCAGCGTTTGCAGTGCTGACATGTTACTCCTCGCTTCTATAAACAGGCCGCCATCCAGATTATTCTTGCGGATTATCGCTATGGTGAGAGCCGGCGCGTCGAAGTTGATGTCACCCGTGAGGTTGTTGTTCTCCAACCTTAGCCTTTTCAACGTTTGACACTGGAGTAATCCTCGTGGAATCGGCCCCGACAGCTCGTTTTCAAGAAGAACCAGGTAAACCAACTCGTTGTGCATGCACAAGTTTGGTGGAATCTCACCTGTGAACTTGTTGGTTCCCAGATCCATTCCTTGCAGCTTGCTGTTAACTCCGAGATTCTGCGGGATGGGACCGTAGAATTGATTCACCGTCAGGCCGATATCCACAAGATAAGGATGCTCCGCGATCCATGGAGGGAATTCTCCAGTGAAGCTGTTTTTAAACACGTGGAACTCCCTCAGGTTTCGCAAGTTGGACAGTTCCCGTGGAAGCTCCCCTCCGAGGCCGTTGTTGGCAACATCGAAGCATTCAAGCATGGTGAGGTTTCCCAAGTGCGGTGGAACTCTTCCGGAGAGCTGGTTTTGCCACAAGTAGAGGATCCGGAGATTTTGGAGGCTACCCAGCGACGGTGGAATGGGCCCAGTGAGCGTGTTGGCGGCAAGGTCGAGCTCTTGCAGAGCTTCCATTCTCGAGAGGGAGTCCGGGATTGGGCCTGTGAGGAAGTTCTCCTTGAGCAGCAGCTTCTCCATCCTGGTGAAATTTCCATAGCAGCCTGGAATGGAGCCGTGAAGATTGGAGCTGTCGAGCTCTAGAACTCGCAAGCTATGGAGGCAACAGAGCTGCTCGGGGATGGATGCTGGGGCGAGGGGGTTGCCTCCAAGGTGGAGCTCTTCCAGGAGGGTGTGGTTGGCGATTTGTGGTGGAATCCAGCCTTGCAGATTGTTGTTCTCGAGATTGAGAAGCGTCAGGCTCTCGAGCCTGCCGAGGAGATGCAAGGTGTCGAGCCGGCCTCCGAGACCCATGGACGAGAGATTCAATCCCACCACCGCGAGCTCTCTCTCGTCGCAAGTCACGCCTCGCCACGAGCAAATGGAGCTTCGGTTCGTCCATCCCTTGAGCTGCTCGAGAGGATCCTGTAGCGAAGCTTTTGTAAGCAAGAGGACGTGCTGGTCATCCAGGAGCGATGCCTCGGAAGGGTTGGGAATTGAAACAAGGAAGAAGGATACAACGAAAGTCACCACCACCAGCGTCGAGCAGACCATGGCCGTCGTTCCAAGTGAATGCGATGAATTAAAGGCACAATCACCATCTTTCGTTTTATCATCTCCATCTTGCCGTCCCGTATACAACACGCTTATACGTTCATAGCTTTCAGACCTTGACCCAGACCGTGACATAGGCTAGGCAGGATCTTCATCATTTCAAGAAAAAAGGAAATTTTTCTTTCACTTTACTTACCCAAACGTTTATTTACAGTAGTGTTAATTATTAACATCGCAAAGTTCCTAGTATTTACACGTACGTGAGGCGCCACTTCTGGTTCTCCCGCTTCAGCCACTTGAAGAGGATGAGCTCCGTGCCGTCGTGAACGCCACCGTGCTTCTCATCGCCGTGGCTCGCGTCCAGATTCAGATGGATGTTTCCAACAGGGCGCAGGCATCTGTATCCCTTCCCAACGTCAGCGCTGAGCGTCCACAGCACCGATTCGTCGGGGCGGTCGCCGTGAAGGGACACTACTCGCACCTGTCGAAACAAAAGTTTTATAACTCATGAAAGATCTATATCCTTTTACCTTATCAAATTCTTTTTCTCCATGCTGCAGTGCCTTCTGTGTGGCCTTGTTGATCAACACGAACGCAGGCGAGCCTGACTCGTCTTTCATGTTTGCAGCCAGCTTGTTGTCCTGGAACCATTCCTGAAACGGCGACAAGCTATATGAGATCACCGACGCATTGACTGTGTGTTTTATACCTGTCTTGGATCAGATTCCTCACTAGCGGCGAGAACCACAGAGTCACCGCGAACAGTAACGTAATAGTCTGGTCTCGCTTCGCAGGAAAGCTTTACAGTTTGTTGTCCTGAAAGGCCGGCGCCATGAGAGAGCTTTCGCAGTTTAGGTAAAAAGTCACTTACCGTAAGACTGGCCTTGTCCACCACCATAGGCAGCACTTGTACCATAAGACTGCGCTTCAGCACCATAAGCACCAGTAGAAGCTACAATGGGTAGCAGAAGAGTTAGTGTCACAGGAAGTGTAGTTTATCACAGCCAAACAAGAAAAAGAATGTAACTTACTTATCGGTAGGATTTTCCACTTTTGATTTTCCTGCTTGTTCCACTTGTGCAAGATCACGTTCGTTCCATCCTTGACACCTCCGTGCTCTTTGTCGCCACGATAAGCGTCCAGGTTGAGGTGGACGTCTGTAAATGGACGGATGCACTGGTAGCCATGCCCGACATCCGCGCTTTGGCTCCACAGGAAAGACTCGTTTGTGTCATTGGCGTCATATGGTTTTAGATACACCTGCAAGCAACAAACAACACACGAGCACGACTAAAACTTTAGAAAAAACGCTCACAAGCAGACAATCTTACTTTATCTTTCTTGTCGTCGTGATAAAGTGCTAAGCCGCTCGCTTTGTTAATGAGTGAGAAGCCAGGGAAGCCCTCCTTGTCCTTCTTGGAGCTGTGCCTTGTGTCCTTGTACCATTGCTATTACATCACCAAGAACAAACTCTCGAGTTTAAGCGATGCGAAACACGAACTTAAAAAGTTTTGGACAAACGAAGTACCTGATGAGGATTGGATTCGTTTCCAGGTGCTAGCACGAGCTCTCCACCGCGATCAGTGAGATAGTAGCTGGGATTTGCCTCGCAGACGATTTTAAAAACCTCTTCGTGTGCGCTGCCACCACCGCCGCCTGGTCTGCTGTGATAGCCACTCTGCTGCTGCTGCTCACCATAGCCACCACCTACATTCTCCTGATCGAAGCGATGGGGCTGCTCGTGGTGGTGCTCGTGCCCCGGCTTCTTGTCGTGGTGGAAGAAGCCCCTTGGCTCGGACTCGTCCATCCGTCCTCCGCCATAGCTCGAATATTCGGGTCCACTTCCGTACGGCGCTGCCGTCGTGTCCGGAGCTCCTCCATATCCTCCATACTCTGCCATATTTCCGGGCCGCCTTGATCTGATCGATCGAATCCTGCAAACAATGGAACACATGCACCGGATCAGACGATCGCAGCCAAACAAGGAGCAGCGTGTGATGCCGGAATCCATGAATCTTGGCCGGGATTGCGAGAGGGGGATGGAGGAGGAGGCGGGAACACGATGGCGCTGGCTGGGGTTTCACACATTGCATCGTCCATGGCGTAGAGTCGCAAAATGCCAGAGAAAAATTGCGATCCAAGCATGGAATCCCGGCCGATCCACACTGGAGGGAAATAAAACATATCGAGAGATTCACCTGGTGCTAACGCTCAATCCCCTTTCCTCGCCTTTACAGTTCTTCGCGCTTCGTACGTCTGCCTAGCGATCGTCCGGCTGCTTTTATATAGAAGTAGCAAAGGATATGCTCTCAGGGGAAGCTTATATCCTCTCACAGCTGGAGCCATGGCTTGACGACACGTGTCTAGTATCTGCCACGTGCCACACGTCAATCAAGATATTGTGGATAGAACGCATGGGCCTTAAACGCGTCTTTGTCAAACACGGAGATATCGTGGCTCTACGCTATGACTTTATGCGGCAAACTGTCGGTGATAAAATAATAGGAAATATTGCTGTGGTTCGTCCATTGAGTGTGTAAGGTAGGTTAGGATCTTATAAGTGTCTTACACAAAACACCTTGTATTGTGGGCAGTAAACACCTCATTGATGAATTAGCTTTTGAAAATTTCAATTGAGAGGGATAGAACTTTAGTGAAAAATGTTCTGGCAAATTAGTGATGTTATGCATTAGCTGGTGGCACAATTGCGAGAGATGGATGGACAAACTCGGCATCGAGTTGGAGGCCCTACTCCAACAGCCAGCTAAAACATTATCATGTCTATCCTTCAAGATTTCAAGATGGGCACCATAAACAACATATAATAATACATATTTTTCGGATAGCGCCCATCAGACCAAAGGGGTAGAACTACCTAGACAAAATAGGTAAATATCATTGTGCCTGGAAAGGCTTGCCAGGACATAAACTCCTCACAAGTCGTCGCCCCCACCGAAGTTTATATCACATACCCCAGAATATCTAATAAGACATGTTTTTGGAATTTATGGTCTATGTACCGACTCTCATTACCCATAGGGTTACGATTCCGTGGTGCCAATCTGTGATTTTTCTCGCTTTTCCATGCTTTTTATCTGATTTTTCGCCAAATTATTGATTGAAACTAGTGTCTAAAATGTTTTTTTAAATATTTAAATGATATTAAAATGTTAATTAATATGTAAAAGATTATATACATCTTCAATTTAAATAAACAGGTATCTATCTATTTTATCTCACGGTGCCCAACAAAAAGCATGAGACTGCGAAAATAAGCTTGCAATTCTGCGATAATTTGAACCTTTGTAATTCGCTTCGTATGTCAATAGTGCTTTGTCAAGCAGATGGCTGTGAGAACTTTACGAGGCAAATTGTCGGTGATAGACTACGGTAAACTATTTCTTTGGTTAGCTTCTCAAGATCTAGATTCCAGAACCGCATAAAGTAAAGCTTACATGGTTTCCAGGATCTATAAGTAGTGCTCATTGATGGACTAGCTTTTGACAATACAGACACACATAGAAAATTCTCACTTTTCTTCTCTCACTCAGTGAACTTCCAGTGCTGGTTTTCCTGGTCGCTCCACTTGAACACCACGACTTTGGTCCCATCGCTCGGCCCACCATGTTTCTTATCGGCACGGAAAGCATCCATGGTGACCTTCACGTTATTGGCGGGTCTCACAGCAAACCATCCATGTCCAACTTCCTGCTTCGTCCAGAGTATGTCCTGGTTGAGGAGATTGGGGACAAACTTTGCCAGAGAAACCTGAGGAGCAAAAGCAAAACGCTGAGCTACAAGAAGGATTAAACTTCTCGTGCGATTACCTGCTGGCCTTCGCCGGGAGCGTGAGAAAGAGCGTGCTGCGTAGCCACATTGAGCATCACAAAAGCAGGCTGGCCAAGGGAATCCTTGAGCTTGCTGCCCCACCAGTCATCCTTGATCCATTGCTACAAAGTTTCCAAAAGTTTCCTTAGAATCTGATGAAACAAAGAACTTTTTTTTCTGTAGAACATACCTGGCGGCCATCGGATGGATTGCTAGGCGCAAGGACCACGCCGTCTCCACGCGCACTCACGCTGTAACCTTCTCCGGCCTTGGTGACGAGACTATACTTCGGCAGGTGATGCAAGGAGCGATCAACCACACGGCTCTCGGTCCTCAAAACACGGTGGAAATGATCGGCTCCGCCCGTGCTATCACCTGTTCATTCTTCCTTCAGCGAAGATCCAAAAGAAAACCATCGAAAAACTTACGCGTAGGAACTAGCTTCCAGCATTGGTTATCGTACTCCTTCCACTTAGTGATCAAGACGTCAGTCCCATCGGTGAGACCACCATGCTTCTTATCCCAGTGATTCGTGGATAAGTTGAGAGAAGTATCATAGTATGGTCGCAAAGCGTTCCAGCCCCCACACACATCTTGGCTAAGTGTCCACAGAGTAGACTTATCCTCGGAATCCCCAAAGTAGTCGGACATAGTCACCTATGCATCGATCGATCGATCAAACAGACAAAGAACTTAGAAATTAGTTTTTCCCAAAGGATAGATCCAAAGTACCTGGGTATCTAGGCCGCCCGGATGCGTGAGGGCTTGGCCAGTAGCCCGATTGATCAATGCAAAGCTCGCGGAGCCCTTGGCATCCTTGACATGCTCCCATGATTCGTCCTTGTACCATTGCTGGAGCGATGGATCGATCGAGATGGGGAAAAAAGTAAGCATCGATCAACATCGCGGGCGATCGAAAGGAAATATCAAGGCAGAGCATACCTGGCGAGGATCGGATTCATCGGCCGGGGCCATCACCACGCCATCGGTCCGGGCGGCAAGATTGTAGGCGCTATCGGCCTTGCACTGGATCTTCACAAACTGACCCTGCGGCATCGTCGCTCGCTACCTCGATCGATCGATCGATCAGAGAACTCGAAGAGAAACTAGGCACGAAGAAAGAAACGCTCCTCCTGTTCCTCACGGATTGACTAATAATCGCAGATTTATGGAGAATTTTTACTAGGGAGGACGGAAAGTTACCTCGCTCCTTGGTCCGCCACCAACGCCTAGAAATTATTCAAACGAGGGAATCGAACCGGGACCTCGGTCACGGCGCATTTGAAATCGACACGTAGATGAGACTTAACACGTGTCATGCGGACAGCGAGTAAGCTGTCCCTTCCAGGAGTAACAGGTGTACCATTTTGAAAATTGGCGAATATATCTAGGTAGGAGGGCGTGTCCATGCCACGTGTTATATTTCCAGCGAGACCCGTTAGCTCTATCCGAGCGTTCGCATATTCGCATTTTAATCGCACCATGGTTTGCGAACACAAGAAAAGTAGCGCTCGCCTATGTGAATTTTAATCGCACCAAGGTTTACAAACACAACAGAAGCATCTTTTTTTTTAACTTTTTACGTAGTTACAATGTAAGTTCTTGGAAGAACATGAACACACAGACTAACACAAGATAGAGGCCGATCCAATCCCTCAAACTGGGACAATCTTCCAATACTGGTTGTCGTGAGTTTTCTGCCACTTGAAGAGGATGAGCTTGTTCCCTTCCTTGATCCCGCCGTGCTTTTTATCACCGTGATCGGCATCGAGGTTGAGATCGATGTTGTTGTAAGTCCTCATGGTGTGAAAGCCATGGCCGAGATCATCGCTGGCGCTCCACAGGAGATCATCGTCCATCTCGTTCTTGGAGTAAGCGGATAGAACCACCTGAGTGGAACAAAGATTTAGAGACCCCACATCGATCAATCAAATCAGAAACGTGCCTGCTCGTTCTCGGAATTGCCATGACGAAGCGCTTGACCAGTGGCCTTGTTGATGAGCGCGAAGGCCTTGGATCCCGACGAATCGGTCAGGCGCTCGCCCCAGGAATCGTCCTTGATCCATTGCTGCACAAAGCCCCAAAATCTAGCGAGAACATCTCGGGATTTCGAGAAGAACAGACCTGGCGCGGGTCCTGGACATTGCCCTGGGAGAGGACGACGCCATCGTCGGTGGCGGTGAGATAGAAATCGGGGCGAGCCTTGCAAAAGACGCGAACAACCTGGCCCTGGACTGGCGGATGCCCGTGCGCGTGCTGCTCATAGGATCCATATCCCTGCTGGTACGACATGATCGATCGAGAGAGAGCTGGAGCAAAACTTTAGACAAAATCTCTAGACAATGCAAGCAAACGCACTGGAAAATGTGGCAACAGAGCAGGGTTTTATAGTGAGTGCCTAACCCATCTGGGCCGTTCAGCCTCATCGGACGGTCAGGGTTTGTTAGGGTTCTTGCGGGAAAATGTAGGGCTCTTGGATTATGGATCGAGGATTGAGCGTTCTGCTCTTCGTCTCGGCATTCACAGTAATCGCGATTGCCGGCGTCCACAAGATGCAGCAGCAGGAGCGCGAAGATTTGCGCGCTGGCGCTATCAAGGATCAGGAGAGATACGCCGCACGGCAGCTTCAAATGGAGCGGGATAGGGTCCGGTAGTCGATCGATGGCGTGGAAGCCGTCAATGCTACGCTTCCAGATCACTAGCTCACTAGGTGAATTTGGCGATTCATTGATTTAATCCTTGGAATAAATTCTTGGTTCCAGAAGCTTCAAGAACATTGCCTAGGGTTTTTGGTCTTCTCGGATGGATTCTGGGAGGAAGGCCAGGAGAGCGCTGGAAGAGTATGAGATTGATGCGCTGGTGGATGATTCTTACGACAGGCGCAAGAAACGGCACTGCGATTCGGGCAGCGAGATTGTGCGCTACTGCGGCCGGGAGAGCTGCGTGAGAATCTTTGGCGTCGTCTTCCCCAGGCACAGCTACCCGATCGACGCCTTCAGCTTTAAGCAGCTCGATTCTTGCCGCTGGTGCCTGGACATGGCAATCTTCGTCGGTGAGTTCCCGATCAATGCGTAGTTCTTTGGATTTCTATCAGGTCCCTGCTCTAGATTTTTCGTGACTTCTCTTGATTAGCAAAATTTCCTTTTGTGCTTGTTCTAACGGCTTTCCAACAGGAACAACGTACGAACAAGTCACGGAGATGTGCATCTTTCTCTTCAACCAATTCGTTCTTCCACCGGAGAAAGCACTGGCCGTGTACGTGCAATCCCCAGGCTCGGCATTCCAGTACTGCGGTGGAATAAGCAACGTTTGCCCCTCGGCGATGATCACTCTCCTCTGGCCCAAGCACGGCGGGAAGAAGCAATTGACGGCCCCGGACGCTCCGCCGCTCAATGCCTCCATTGGTGTTTCGCTCGAGGATTTGTCGACGCTTCCAGCTCTCAACATTCGGCAGTACTACCACGTCGAGAAGGTTGCTCTCAAGATCGGTGAGAACTTTTTCCATTTCATGCAATCGTGTTCTAAGGCTGCCCAGGACGGGAGGATTATCGTGCCACTTAACTTGCTCGATCAGTGGTTTGTTAGATTCAAGGACAAGGCTAGCAAGGATCCAGATTATCTTAAGCAGTTTCAGGTGTAACGACAATGTTACTCGTCACCATCACGCGAAGGTGATGGTGCTGTTTACAATGGAATATCATACGCACAGCTTTGCTGAGGTATAAACTTAACAAGCTTGTGCTATTTATTCTTCCAGGACAGATTGTTAGCTTCATACCAGGCACGATGACACGCGATGTTTAAGACTGGAAGAAGCTTACAATCGTTGCGTGAGAAAACTTCTCGAGGCAGTGTGACAATGTTCTTCTTTCTGGCGCTAGTTGGGCTTGTTTCGAGGTATTGTAGGTGGCAGTTTTCTTCGCGTAATTCCTTTGTGCAGATGCGGGGCTCAAGATTGCGCGCCGAGTTTTCGGAGTTATCAACTTCGAACCAAGGCTTCGTCAGCGTATTGTTTGACGGCACTGAATGAAACCGTGAGAATGAACCTCTGCGACTCAAGTTGTCGCAACCAGGTAAGTAAGACGTTTCTTTCTCTGACTCGGTTTTTTCTTTTTTTCTTTTCTTTTCTCATGCGGGGGACTTACACAGATTTGGTTCTTGAACTCTACTTACAATTTCGTAGACGCGGCAGGCAGCAAGGCCTTCGTCCTCACAAACGCCGGTTCCGGGCGAGTTCTTCGCCACAGAGCTAACGACGACGAACAAGTAAGAAATGACTTCATCTGCTCATTAGCTCTTCTCCAACTTTTAAACTCTCAATCCAGGTCGTTCTCATTGTCTACTGTGAGCTCAGTAGCTCAATCCTATGGACGCTGAGCCCCGAGAGCTACGATAAGTACTTCGCGATTCGTCCATTCGAGAACACTCAACTGAACTTGGACGTGGATCACGGTGATCGCAAACACGGCGGCGTCCAGCCAAACAACAGGCTTATGCTTTTCTCGTGGCACACTGGCGATAACCAGCTGTGGGAGTTCATCGAGGCCTGAAAAACACAAAAGAGTTATTCTATCATTTGGAGCAGCCCAAGGTTTTATAAAAAGACTAAGCTACGCACCTTTTGTCTGTGCAGTGTATATGAAATATAGGGCATACGATGATGTTGATGTGACATCACGTAGCGTCCCTCCCACGCACACGTGGCGCCCTCGGACGCGTGCGTTTTGCATGTTGGATTTACATTCTTTTCGCTTTGGCAAAGAACATGGTGGCGATCATATCAAGCCAAGTAGCGACACCTAGGCACAAGTCAAAAAGGTTGGCACAAGCTATGAAAAGAAAAGGTGGCGGACGGAAGTTTTTGGAGAGGTGGGGGTGTGAAAGAAAATTTGGGTATAAAAGATGCCGAGGAGCATTATCAAAACGCTCTTTTGTTGGGTGTTTGTCACTGCTGGACATCGCCTAGTGATGAAGCGATACAGTCCGTTAGTTAAAGGCTCTTGAAATACATATAAACAATGTTGGGTTGGCAAGACAAGACAGGGGTCACACAATCTTTTCAAGGAAAAAAACTGTGGGTAAAGAGGATCCAGCTTGGTGCTTGTGGTCTTCACACATTGTCCTATAATTCTTGAATTATTAAACGCTCCGTACTCGGGGTCCACTGTGGTCCACATTCTCCTCGCGCCGTACGCCCCCTCTCCCATCCATATGGCATCATGGATGGTGGATGGATGCATGCCGACATGCATCATGACGTGTTGGGCACGCTGCCAACATCCCCCCCTCCTTTCCTTGGCATTGTGAAATTCCCCCAAGTGTGAGAGAGCTTACACCAACTTGATTTGTTCCCAAAGATCTATATCCCTTACATTGCAAGAAAAGAAGGAAAGAAGGAATGCAATGCAAGCAAGCAGGGAGCAAAACAATTCTCCAAGCATATACCCCCAGTGGCGACAAGATCCGGGCCGGGCCCAATCCCCGGCCGCCGCGTGGCCGTCCACTAGTGGCTTGGGTGGGAAGGGGGACCCAAACGCACCTGTGGCTTAACCGACCTGGGGCAGCAAAATCTCCTCGCGTTAGTGGTCTCTGCTTCTGCAAGCGAGCTATGGAAGTGGTGCTCTTTTCTCTCTTTTTTTTAAAGGCTTGACAATTGGAGCCACAATGGGATTGACCAATCCAGGCGAATCAATGGATGGATGGATCGTGGATCTGGGATGGATTTCGATGGGATTCCTGGATGGATGAATGTGAATGATACCACTATAACAAAACAGCTATCAAACAAGCACATAACGCCAAGGAAATTGGGACGCTTTCAATCCTCTCGTCTCCCCATTATTTAGGAGATCAATACATTCGCAGGGAGGCGAGAGCGTCTCTCTGGGCTGGAATCTTGTGGCAGACTGGAGAGAGAGAGGACACACCACACACATACAAAACTCTGCGATATCTCAGCTTTGCAAATCTAGGATGGAGCAAAAGACAAGGAAAGATCCAAGTTTTAACAGGCACGAAAAATCCTTGCGAAATAAACTATAGCACAGACAACCAATCTATCAATCTTTTTCTCGCTTTTGTTTGTGTCAGGCACGCAAGAGCCCACCCGTCAATTTCATCCCGGGTCTTGCGTCCCGTTTGAGCATCCCGACAGGGAGAATATTCCCCGCGGGAGAAAAGATTCCGGGGATTATTTCCCGGAGGACACAAATCTCGTGATCGGCAAAGGACCCGGCAAATTGAGAGGGCCATAAAAACACATCCCCTGAAAAACAACAGACTGCCCAACCTCCGCCTTGAAACCATGGCGCCTTAGAACTTGTGTGACAACTTATGAGACAACGCATATTCTCCAGATTTGCCCTAATTAGGGCGTACGGATGGCGAACCTTTAGTAAGGGGCGGCCGCGTAACGGTACGGTGTCGTGGTCCCCGCGAGTGGTGACGGCCGCTGACGGGCCGCTGGCGACGTGTCAGCCGCTGGCTGCCGCCCCGCCGACGGGCGGCCGTGAGCGTGGGCCCCGCGATCGTACGGCACCGGGGCGCCATGGCCACAAGTACGCGCGCACCAATGTGGCCGCCCCATTTCCCCATAAGTCCCCTGCTTCAAGGCTTATGATTTCGCTGCGTGCTCGTGTTCCCTCATGCTCGGTCCTTGTCTCGTCTTTGATGTGCTCCTGCGTCCTTCTCTCTCGGATTGCGAATCGGCTCTCGGTATCGGCGACTCGTCCAGCAGCGGCATTGGATATGTGAGCGCGCGGTTGCGGCGATTCCCCATTCCAGGGCTGGTTCTTGGCCAAGAATGGAGTTGGATGTCTTCTTTGTGCTCCGGCGGATCATCTAGGGGGTAGTCTCAGGTGTTGCGGCATGGAGGAGCGATCGCGCTGCTGAAATATCACCCGCGATGGTGAAATATTTGGTAGTCTAGCAGCGGCTGCGATGATGTGGGAGGTGGGAGGAGGATGAATCGAGAAGAGGTGGATGTCCTAGGCTAGCGCCTGGGGAATGGCCGTGATGAAAATGAAGGATTCAAGCAAGCATATCATGGATGCGGGGAAGTACATTCGCTACACGCCTGAGCAAGTCGAGGCATTGGAGCGGGTCTATAACGAGTGCCCCAAGCCGAGCTCCATTCGGCGGCAGCAGCTCTTGCGTGAGTACCCGGTTCTTGCCAACATCGAGCCCAGGCAGATCAAAGTCTGGTTCCAGAATCGCCGGTGAGTGCTCATCCAAGAAATGTGCATTAGCTAGATGATCATCATGGAGTACATTCCTCTTCTGGTTGGTGTTCTTGCTAGAACTTGCAGCTAGTTACTCATTTCTTCCATCTTTCTAGCTAAAGTTGCTATAGTTTACTTTCTAGCTAGCTCTAAAGGTTTCCAAGATCTCATTTTTCCTTTCTTCTCTTTGGGTAGATGCCGCGAGAAGCAGCGCAAGGAGACGTCGCGGCTGCAGAGCGTGAACGCATCGCTGACGGCTATGAACAAGATCATTATGGAGGAGAACGAGCGCCTCACCAAGCACAGCTCGCAATTGGCGTTGGAGAACCAGTACCTGCGCCAGCAACTGCAACAGCAGGGAGGCTCCGAGAGAGATCTCAAGCTCTCTCGGAGATATGCTAATGATGCACAAGTGATTAATGTTTTTTCTCCCCAGTCTTTCTCGTTCTTGGTACTGAAAGTCTTGAGTCTTTTCTGTTTTCCAGGCAGCGCTTGCGGCTGATAGGAGCCCCGACTCGGAGGTGACGGGCGGGATGCCTCAGCAGCTGGTCGCTGCTTCTACGACTACAACAACAACAGCGCCCCAGATTGCGCGCGATTCAAGTCCCGCTGGGTCAGTCAGCGATGCTCGCTTTCGTGAAAGTGATATGACACTGACCTTGCTTTTGCTTTGGCAGACTCTTGGCTATTGCGGAGGAAACTCTGACTGAGTTTCTAGCAAAGGCTAGAGGCACGGCCGTGGATTGGATCCAGTTGCCTGGGATGAAGGTAATGCATATTTTTCCATTTTGGATGTATATATGCTGAGATTATTGTGTTTCTTTGGCAGCCTGGTCCTGATTCTGCTGGTACTGCAGCGATTTCACATGGCAGTACTGGTGTAGCTGCTCGAGCCTGGGGTCTAGTTGGTCTAGAACCCGACAAGGTATGCTTATTGGAGTGTATAGTTTTGCGAGTCTTATATGTTTTATGCAACTTTTGAAAGGTCGCGGAAATCCTGAAAGACCGATCCTCCTGGCTCCGAGATTGTCGACGCCTTGAAGTCTTGCGTGCTTTTCCTACCCCAAATGGTGGGACTGTGGAGTTGGTATACACTCAGGTGATTTCAGTCGCAGAATATCTGGTGTTGCTGCTAATGCACGCGAGTCTTTTTCTTCTTTTGCAGATGTACGCCCCCACAACACTTGCCGCTGCCAGAGACTTCTGGACACTGCGTTACACAACCTTTTTGGACGAGGGAGATTTAGTGGTGCGTTAAGAAGCCGAATGGCTGGGAAAAAGATTTGATGTGGGATTTTCTGTGCATGTCAAGGTCTGCGAGAAATCTCTGAGTGGCGTCCATGGCCTCCCCGCCGCGAAAGCCGGGAATGACTTTGTCCGAGCCGAAATGCTTGCTAGCGGCTTTCTTATCCGGCCATTCGAAGGCAACGTGTGCAGCATCTACATTGTCGATCACATGGATCTGGAGGTGCGTTTTTATGCAATGGCTGCTTGCACGCGCTAACGTTTGGCTTGTGAATCCTACAGTCTTGGAAGGTGCACGAAGTTCTCCGGCCGTTGTACGAATCATCATCTGTCTTGGCCCAGAGGATGACTCTGGGGGTATAACTTACTTCTTGGTCTTTGAAACTCACGACTTATTACTTTCATTTCGTTCTACAGGCTTTGAGGTTCTTACGACGTCTTATATACGAATCTCCTTTGAACGAAAATGCTCCTCGAGGAGCCCAGCAGAGTGCTGCATGGAGAGGTGTCAGTCGCCGAATTGCACGGTAATAATGCGGTTCCAAAACCTTTTTGCTGGGCCTCATTTCGGCAAGAATCTAATGACACAGGGGATTTAATGAGGCGGTCAATAGCTTTGCTGACGACGGATGGATGATCACTGACGCAATAGACGGTGATGTCACCGTTGCGATTAATGTGGCTCCAAATGCCAGCAGTATCGGAGGGCAAGTCATGCCACCGGACCGATTGTATGCTGTCGGAGGTGGTGTTCTTTGTGCTAAGGCGTCAATGCTACTACAGGTGAGCTTACAGATATATGTGCAAAGGAAAGACGTTAACCGCTACTTTGGTTTTTATTGTAGAATGTTCCTCCAGCCACTTTGATCCGTTTCCTACGCGAACACCGCTCGGAATGGGCGGACTGTAACGTTGTCTTGGACACTGCTTCTATGAGGGCTAGTGCTTGCGGTTTCTCCAGGGGAAACGTCATCGGCCAGTGCCCTGTGCCATTAGTTCAGTCCGCCGAGGAAGAAGAGGTTTTGAGCGTTGTCCTTGTTGTGATGCGCGATTGTAATTGGTTTGGTTTGCAGTTTCTCGAGGTCGTTAAGCTGGAAGGTCACGCTTCTGGTCAGAATGGCGTTGTTATTCCCAGGGAAACAGTCTTGCTCCAGGTTAGCTCGATCGCTTTCTTTAAATGTGCTTGTTCTTGACATGAATGATGGGCCTTCGGCAGCTCTGTAGCGGTCACGATGATAATGCGATGGGAGTTTGTGCTCAGCTCGTCTTTGCACCGGTTGATGCCGCTGTTTCGGAAGACGTTCCTTTGTTGCCGTCGGGCTTCCGAGTGATACCTTTAGACAGTGGTGTGGTGAGTACAAAGCAAAAACTCGGGACATATGTATATCTGACAATTTGTATGCTTCGCTTCTGCAGGATAGCAGCGGCTTGTCACGCACACTGGACCTGGCGTCCAGTTTAGAAGGAGGAGCAGATATTGGAAAATTTCCGGACGAGTCTGGCTGCCACTTGCGCTCCGTATTGACGTTAGCGTTCCAGTTTCTCTTTGAAGCGCACAACCGTGACGAGGTGGCGACCAGCGCACGCCAATACGTTCGTCATGTCATGGCTTCCGTGCAAAGCATTGCCATGGCACTGGCATCATTCCGGCTCGGGCCCCGCGTCGGTCCAAGGAACGTCGAGGCATTACTCTTGGCCCATCAGATCTTGCGAAGTTACAGGTAAAGCTTTTTGTATCCTTGGTTGATATCATTAAGCAACCGATCATGCAGGGCAAACTTCGCCTCGGATCTCACTGAGTCGGATCCAGGAAGCACTGACGCTTTCTGGCATCACAAGGACGCTATCCTGTGCTGTACCTGGAAGGTAAGAACGTTTCTCCCTCTCCAGCAAAGTGGCGATTCTAAAACGTCCGTTCTTTGCGCAGGCTATGATCCCGGAGTTCGTGTTTGCAAACCGGGCCGGCCTGGAAATGCTGGAGACGACCTGGTCCGAGCTACACGGGATCCCGTGGGACAAGACGCTGGACGACAATGCCAGGAAGGCCAGCGCCGCGGAATTCTCACAGATCATTCAACAGGTACTCCATAGCGATGTTCGCTACTCCGGCTAAGCTCTCTTTGTTACTCGCAGGGGTATGCGTGCCTTCCACCCGGTATCAAGCTCTCGAGCAAGGGAAGGCCCGCGGCTTACGACCGCGCAGTGGCGTGGAAAGTTGTGGACGAGGAAGACAATGCGCAGTGCGTGGCTTACATGTTCATCAACTGGTCCTTCCTCGGCTGACAACGCAGGCACCGCTTTTATCTATTATAACCACGCTTTTAATTTATAATTTGGTGTTGTTGATTAAAGCAAAAAGAAAAAAGAAAAAAGAATGTAATTATTAGTTTAGTAAAACTTGCAAGCTCCAAAGTGATTGATGTGCATCATGACCCGCAGCATGAAGATACAAAGGAAGAGTACCTTTCTCGAAACTCTAGAATTATTATTCTTATAGATAAAGAGATGTGAAAGTATCACCATTATTATAGGAATTATATAACAATTTATATTATTATTACTATTTTGGCAGGACAAATTGGTACTACTGTTTCATAAACTCCGGCGAAAGGTGGCAGACGCAGCACCCTTGCAAATACCCCTGGACAAAACATTGGCGAGGAGCGAGTAGGGGCTGGGGCAGTCCGGGAACGCCTCCAGCGCATCCTCGCACATCCTCTCCGCCGCCTCCACCTGGTCGTGCGTCCGGCACGCATTCAACACGCTCGTCCACGCCGCCACCCCGGGCAGAACCGGCATCGCCCGCACCAGCTCCTCCGCCGCCTCCACCATCCCGACTCGCCCCAGCAAGCTCACCATGCAGCTGTAGTGCTCGCCCCCGGGCTCCAGCCACCGATCGCTCGCCAGGCACCGAAACATCTCCACCCCCTCCTTGAGCATCCCCAGGTGTCCGCACAGCGCAAGAACGCCCAGGAGCGTGGATTCGTCCGCCTCGATCCCCTCGGCGTCCATCTCCCGGAGGAGCCCCAGCGCGAGATCGCCCCGCGCGTGGAGCGCGTACGCCTGGATCATCGCGCTCCAGGAGACGAGGTTCCGGGCGCCGGGGAAGCCGTCGAACATCTCGCGCGCTCGATCGACGAGGCCGTTGCCCGCGAGCGCGACGAGGATCGAGTTCCAGGAGAGTGTGTTCCAACCCGGGCTGCGATCGAACGCGGCCTTGGCGAGGGTGGCGTCGCCGGATTGGCCGTAGGCGGCCACCATCGCGTTCCACGATACGAGGTTCCTCTCCGGACTGTGTTGGTCGAAGAGCTCGCGCGCCTCTTGAATGGATCCGTTGTGGGCGAGCGCAGCGGTGATCGAGCTCCAGGAGACGACGTCCCGGGCGGGCAATCGATCAAAGACCAGGCGCGCCTGCTCGATCTCGCCGTTTTGGCCCATTGCCACGATCATATGGTTCCAGGTGACGATCTCGCGAAGCGGCGCTGCGAGGAAGAGATCCATCGCTTCGCTCGGATGTTCGTTCTGCCCGAGAGCTTGAATCATTGCGTTCCACGACACCACATTCTTCTCGGGCATCCGGTCGAAGAGGCTGCGAGCCTCGTCAAGATCCCCGGCCTGGGCATATGCAGTTACCAGAGACGTCCACGTCATCACGTCATGGGCAGGCATTCTTTTTGCAGTTTCTTTGGCGTCGTTAAGCTTGCAACAGTTCACCATTGCGTTCCACGTTATAGACGTTCTGCAAAGCATATCCTGGAAAAACTGTTTCAACTCTAAACTGTGCCCCTTTTGGGCATATGCAGCGAGCATTGTTGTGCAGCTAACAACGTTGTGCTGGGTTATTTTAGAGAACAGCTCAAAGGCCTTGGCATACTCCCCAGAGTTTGTAAGCGCTTGTAGCATTGCGTTCCACGCCACAATGTCTCGAAAACGAATGCCCACAAAACAAAACCAGGCCTGGTCAAGATGCCCTGCTTGTGCATTTGCTACAAGCATTGCAGTCCACGATCCGGTGTTCCACAGCGGCATTTTGTCTAGAATCTGCCGCGCACTACCCAAATCACCAGCGTGTGCGTGCGCCTGGACGACCTCGCTCCACGATACCGCATCCTTGGAAGGAATGTCCTGGAAGAGCTTCGTGGCCTCAACGATATCCCCAGTTCTGGCATATCCCTGAAGCATCGAGTTCCACAGCACCACGTCGCGGTTATGGAAGGAAGAAAACATTGCACGCGCTTGATCCAGCTGCCCGTTGTGGATGTAGGCCGAGATGATCATGCTGTGAGAGAAGAGATTGGGATCTCGGATGGATCGGAATGCGAGCTCTGCATCGGCCACGCTTCCGCACTTTCCATACATTTGGACGATGAGATTGGACAGGAATCGGGTTGGGGCTCCTCCTCCTGCTAAAATCTGAGCGTGGATTCGCCTTCCAGTCGCTAGATCCCGGCAAGAACCCAGCAGAGCAGAGAACTGCAGCTCGATTGCAATGTTCTTGGTCTTCCATACCTCTGCCAATATTTTGCTCATCAACCAAGACCATTGAGAGGTAAATTGGATTTTGCTGCACGATCAGGATACAGCAGAGATTTCTTACATCGCCTAAAAGATTTTCCTCTAACAACAGACATTCCTGTTAAATGGGTTGTGTATGCCCGAGTCTAGCTGTACCACCATAGCACGATTTGAAACATATAATATACTTGTTCTTATTCTTCTTTTCTAATGGTCTGCTCTGGCTCCATGAATTTTTCTTGGATTCAATGTTTGTACATTCAGTTGCATGAAATTCTTAAGTTATCTTTTGTTTAGTTTTCCTTGTCTCTATTTCTCTTTCTTCTATGCAACCATGTTCTGTTAATTTTGTGTATTGGTAAATTTATTAAGCATATTTAAGATTTGCAAATCTTGTAACTTGGACCAAGCAGGAGTGGTAACTCTAGTCCTTTCCTGTTTAGGATTTTATACAATTGTTGGATATGCAATTGCTCTTGCATTAGGTGTGTTGTGTGGGAATCTCTTGCACACTCAAGGTCCCCTTGAAAACCTCTACCTCTCACTGAAAATCCCTCTAGAAAAGGTGTTATATTAAATAACCTCTCCATCCATCAAGTATATCTAAGAATATCTTTAGAATTGTACCCTCACTCCATCAGGTAGATGTCCAAGCTTTGACATAGCAAGAACCTACCACCTCATGTAAATAGAGGACAAAGGATGGATGATGAGATAAAGATAAAATGGAAAAGGAAAATGAAAAAAGTAATGGGAACAAAGTATGGAACTAGAAGGGAAAAATTATAAGGTCAAACCAGTGCAATGGAAAAAAGAAAAGATTAGTTAAGATATCTTAAACCTAGATCTAAGCCTTAAAACATGTATATCATTACACTGTAAATATTTTATTCAAGTGAAAGAAGAAGAGAGATATATTGCTTGTGGATGAATGGAAGGTGAGAGGAATTAGTCATATAAGGCTCAACCAGCCACTAGAAGTTTGAACTTGCAGCTAAGTCGACACTGCTGTGATGATCTACTTTTGTAATTTGGTAGATGATAATGAATCTTTGGCTGAAACTTTAATTATATTTAAGGATTATCTAGATGAGTAAATTGAATATAGAATGGTTGAAAAAATGTTGAGCCCAACTGTAGTGTCATAAAGAAAACCAGAAGTGGCATTTACAGGCAATATTATAGAAAATGATTGAAACAATAATAATGTAATCTATAAAACTCATATCTTACAACTTATTAGGATAAACTAGTTTAAGCTACTCCTCTTAGAGAAAAATGAAATAAATAAAATAAAATAAAATGAGAGAGTGCATAAAAGAAAAAAAAGAAAGGAAAAGAAAGAGCTCTCAATACCAGAATGGCTTCGAGTGATGATGGTTCATAAGAAATACTATGTTTTGGAGTTTCTGGGTGTTGAATGTCCTGACTTGTCATTTTCAGAAATTCTTTTTTGCTTCATGTACTTTATCATAGATGCTCAATGTGAGTTCACCTTCTTTGATGATCTTAGTGACTTTTTTACAAATGGTTTTGGCACTAGATCTTCATGGTGGCCTTCAGAAGACTCCTTTACACATTTTTAATAGGCAATAGCTTGCCCATTAAGTCAATCAGGCTGTTAAGAGCTATTGGATTGAATCAAGTTATATGCCATAATTTTACAGTCCATTTATATGGTAGTACATCTTCTAGAGAACATGTATTGCCTGCAAGCTTCCTCACAAAATCCACTTTTTTTTCCTGTAGCTGTGTAGTGGATTTCATAGTAGCTCTAGTGTTGGATCTCAATCCTAGCTATTTTCCAGTAGCTCTACGACTAGATCCCATTGGAAAATGTATTATAATCTCAATAACCTCTCTGCCCCAAACACATGGAATAATCATTGAGTATATCTAAGAATATTCCTAGAATCATACCTAATAGACAATATTGTTATTCTTTTTTTCTTTTTTTATTTATTTTTATTAAAAGCTAGTTCATTGGTCAATGTTACACTCATGATTGCATCATTGAGTTTGTAGATGATAATGCAAATATAATCTTTATTATCAACAATAGAAAAGAGATGTTTTATCATAGCTCTTAAGCTTCATCTGAATAGGCAATTCTAGACAATTTTGTATCAAGGTTTTTCTCATAAAGATTTTTGACTAAACCTCTATGAGATTGGACTGATTCTTCTCCTATGTCAACATTTAAAAAAAATCAGATAAACAAGAGAAATTATATACTTCTATTAGAGGTCTCAAACTCTTTAAGTAGAGATGGGTAAGGAAGAGTGTTTAAGAATAATTTTCATTGTCTTTTATGCAATAGAAGAAGATTTTTTCCATATAATATATGATTGCATACCTTTGTTTTGCACTCAACTCCATCAAATACCATGGTTAAAGGGATTTCCTTAGCCTTCTAAAAAACTAAACAAATATAAAACTTGAATAGTAGAGCTGGAAACATCACAAGTGTAAAGATATGAAGAAATTAAGTAAGTAGATAGTAGCACTTTAGAGTTTACAGTTTTAAAAGCATTAAAAGACCCCTAAAATATTTTCAAATCCATAATAAAAGTGGAGATTTAATATTTTCTAATAAATCAAAGCTAAAAAACATTAAATTATAGCTACAATAAACTATTTAATTAAAATTTATTATAATCTTGGTAAATAAGGCTCAACCCTTTTTTGTTTTACCATCAATGCAATAAAATAATTTATTTATTAAGAAAAATCTCTCTGGAATATAGGTAGCTAGCTATTTATATTTGTGCTTCAATTGAATGCATTACAAAATAGAAAATATTTTTCATATAAGCCAAATTTAATGATGCTTATAAGTTATGAACCTTACTATAATATAAATAATAACATTTTCAGGAGAATATGTAAATGGGCACTAAATATATAATGTATAAAGAACAATAATAATTATAAATAAGTTTATAAATTTTATTATTTGAAGAATTGATATCCTATATACTGATTGTCATTTGCTTTGAGAACTGAGCAAGGACAACTTAGTACAGATTTACAAATACCTTCATAAAACAATCAACTTTATATAACTTAGTTCTTTTAGGGTATTAGAATAAGGTGAGAATGATTAGAAATTCAAAGAGGATTAGTGTCTACCCAAATGACCACTACATTGAGTTTAGAAAGGCTATAAAAAGTTGAATAAATCCATGCTAAATTTAAGGTTTAGAAGGGATTGACTATCACATAATCAAATGATATTTATACATTTAGAGATTATATACTCTCAAGAGTAACAATGAGTGATGACTTGATCAAAATATTGTAAGGCACAAATCCCTCAATCCCAAAGAGGAGTCGAAGGTGATTTATGAGGCAATGGCTAAGATAGAAGTCTATTGAATTGTAAGCAACTAAAAGGAACAATTTAAGAAATGATTTATGAAGGAAGGAAAAGCCTATATATATAAAATAAAATATAGAAAGAAATGGCCTATAAATAAAAGTGCATCATTTTTTCCAATTGGTTAAGGGTCTTGGGATACTTGGAATTAAATGTCCTTAAGTTTAAATAATACTAAGTTGGGTGACCTCCCAAGAAGTCCAAATTCATGAGCTTATATGAGTGTAACATATTTTAACTTGGAAAAGCTCCGACTTGGAAAAACTTCTAAAGTGATTGTCTCCAAGATCCTAGGGGGTTTAGTAAGTCCTTACATATCTTACTTATGAGTGATGATATGAACACTAGAGAGTCTAAAAGGGGGTTTAGTTGGAAAGATATCTTGATTCCTCAGCAACAACTCCAGAATTTCCCTTAGTACAAGATGAAACCCATCACTGATTCAAACTTGATCATTATTATTATCAACTTCCATCAGTAAAACCCAAAAGGTTCAACATCCCTTTTTAACTGCTTTTTAAGCTTGTCTTACAATTAAGAATTTAGCATCCCAATCCCTTGAGGAGCGCTTTTGCAACTTTATCAAGATGACATTTTAACCTCAATGTTGATGTGACTTTGTCCAACATCATAAATCCCTTTAATATATTTGTTGAAAAAATCTCACTCACACATTTTTTGGCTACTCCTATAAATCAGAAGTGTATGGATGATATTTGCTCAGCTTTCAATCTTAACAACTTGATTAGGTCTTTGAATATCACATTGTGTATAGCTTTTATGTTGATCATCACTTAAATTCAATGTCCACAGACAAACCATATGAGATACATGAATGAATCAATGCTTATATTGACTGTAGAAAAGCTTAAGGAAAATAACTCAGCTCGTTTTCCTCATAGTTTGTATTAACCAATTTATCAACCCCTTCAATTTTGCCACGATCATCTTCCCTCGTGACATTAACACAAAACTTTATCTTATACTTGTTAAGATATTCCAAGGACTTATATCCTACCTCTCCACAATGGAAGCAATAACCTACACTACCCTTTCTACTAAGAGTTGGTTTTGCAAGTTATTACTATTTGTAAGGTGGAAGATGCTGGTGGTCACCAATCACCACTCTTATTAACCATCACTTATGAGCGTTTAAAGGTGAAATTTCCCTTCCACCCCTAGGGACTTAATGGGGATCAAGGAAGGGATATTGGGGTGGTGTTCCTTATGTCTTAGGGCATCTTAAAGATGCTAAAATGTAATGGGATAACCATTTATAGATGGATTGCCTAATCTCAGAGTGTAGTATCAAGTACTAATGTGATATTGAAAACAAGTATAGCTTTAGCATAAGAGGCTTGTACATTAGAGGTATCTTTAGGTGTCTAAAGTGGGACCTAACACATAGAGCACTTGGACCAAGTGTGAAGTTGGTATGGTTATAAAAACATATTGGGGGTTAGTAAGTTATCTAAATTATAATGAGGTTCTATGGAGGTTGTGAGTGAGACTCCTTCAAATGGTTAAACACGTGGTTAAATAACTAAAGTAGAATGAAAAATTTAGTCATTTACAACTTAGTAATGAAGTTGTTCTTTAGTCTAACTCTTATTAGTGGTTAAATACATAAATCTTG